TGATAAAACCCTTATTGCCACATACGCTGATGATACTGCAATAATGTCAGTTAATGCCAACCTAACAATCGCATCAGAACATCTCCAAAAACATATTGATGAGTTAGAAAAATGGCTGAAAATATGGAGAATAAAGGCTAATCACAGCAAATCAGTTCACGTCACCTTCAATCTAAAAAAAAGGCGACTGTCCACCAATTATACTGATCGGAGAACAAATCCCACACGATAGTACCGCGAAATACCTAGGCATGCATCTGGATAGGAGGCTGACCTGGCAGAAACATATCTAGAGCAAAAGAAAAGCCCTGGACGCAAAATTAAGATCTATGTATTGGCTGATTGGCAAAAAGTCTCAGCTAACAAACGAAAGCAAAATAGTACCTAGTTTACAAAACTATTTTGAAGCAGAACTGTGGGGAACAGGAAGTAAAAGCAACATAGAAATCCTGGAAAGGTTTCAGACTAAAGCTATTAGATCTATGTTCAAGATTCCAAAATGCATCCACAGTAAATATATTCTGCAGGACTTGAGGCTCAACACTGTGAAACAAGAAATCGCTGCTCGAAGTTTAAAATACCAACAAAAATTAACTTCACATGTTGACGCTCTGGCTGCTAAATTAATGGGTTCTAGAAGTACCATGTACACAAGACTGAGAAGGAACAGCGTTCCAAATCTCACCAAAGAATAGTGAGAGTGGTCAATGGACAACTCCCCCTGCTTAAAGAAAGAAATAATCAGACATAGCTCAGACAAAGAAACAGCGGGAGAACAAGCGGGATAGAAAAGAAAAAAAGTGTGATAAAATTGCAGATTTGAATTAGGCATTTTGTGAGTAATTAAGAGTACATATTCATTTTTAGAAAAGATCATTAGTTTTAAAGCAAAAACAATTTTGTATTTTTAATTATTAATAAATAATAAAATAATTCATTAATAATGTGAGCAGTATTGCGGATTTGAATTGAGTAATTACTGAGAAGTTATGTGCACTTATTCATTAATCTGGGCGGTTATGGAAAAAAATTGATATTTTAATTATTAATTACTAATTAAATAATTAATAAATAGTGTGCGCAATTACGGATTTGAATTAGGCATTTTGTGAGCAATTAAGAGTACTTATTGATTTTCAAAAAAAGTTCATTGGTTTTAAAGCAAAAACTATTTTCCCGAGTAGCAAACTAGGTTCCCGAGTAGCAGCCTCATGGTAACTTGCTCAATGGAGGCTTATGTTCAGCAGTGGGCTAGTGATGGGTTGTAATAGAAAACCAAATAATATTATTGACGCCAGGGGCCTCGCAAAATTCATCTTGCCCACACCAAATTTAGGTCTTCCTCCGACTCATGGCGTACTGTCATCGCCTGTAACTGTGAGATATGCGGAGCTGACGGGGGCGGATCCCCTCGTCGCAACATCAAAACTCCAGTCAAATAAAAAACGGGGCTGTTTAAAGTACTTTTTATGGTTTTACTGAAAACCACACATGTTGGCTTTCATAACTAAAAAAGGACAGAACATTGAGTCCTGTTTCTACTTGTCACAAAATGCTAGTGTAGTGTTTGTGTCTATTTAATAGATTCAATACACTGTCTCATACACACAAGTAGTGGGGGGTAGCACGTCATTCGGTTGTTGCATTGAGTGCCGGCAGTCAGTTGCTTTGTGGAGTGCTCCGAGGTAGGACGTGTACTCAGAAAGACTTGGTGTGATAGTGAGCCAGTCTTAAGTGTTGTGAATATTATTCTATAAAAGTTATACAGCCAGCAAAGTGGATACTACTGGAAAGCAAACTATGATTGTGGAAAACTATAGGGGTGTGTAGGATTTAGACTAAAAATTGCTACTTTTTGTGAAAGTAGTCGTAGAATGCACCAATGGCCACAGACAATATTTCGATTGCTCTATACGGCTGCCATCTAGGTGCTTTACAAACGTAACGTTCATATCCAAACCAGGTAAGAACGACTATACAGACCCTAAATCCTAGACCCATTAACCTCACATTCTTTCTCCTAAAGACGATGGAGAGCATGTGTATTTTGCTATTCACCGCTACACGAAAAACAACACGCCTATAGCTTAGGTAAATCGACAGAATCGGCACTTCACCATGTAATAACAAAGATTGAAGAGGCCATCCAAAACAATGTAATATGTCTACTGTCTAGGCTCCTTTATAGACATGGAAGGTGCTTTTGACAGAACAAACTTCTCCAGCATAAAAGGTGCCCTAAGTAGACATAATGTTGAACCGGCATTGATTGACTGGATAGTAAACACGCTCAGTACACGAAGAATAAAGATTGCTGGTGAATCTCAGACAATTCAGATCACGCAAGGATGCCCGCAGGGTGGGGTTCTTTCACTTCTCCTGTGTAATATGGTCATTAATGAACTCATCAGCAAATTAAACGCTAATCATTTCTACACAGTCGGTTATGCAGATGATCTGACTATACTGGTCTCTGGAAAGACAGCAAGCATTGTGTGCGACCTAACCCAAGCGGCTCTTCGTATTGTGGAGAGATGGTGCAGGGAATATGACCTAACGGTTAATTCAAACAAAGCGGTTCTAGTAATGTTCACACAAAAAATGCTGAATAACTATCTTCTGCCAAGTCTTTTCAGCACAAAACTCCAGCTATCCTCCGAGGTAAAATACTTAGGTCTTACCTTGGTCAGTAAACTCAACTGGTGTAAAAACATAGTAAACAAAATCAACAAAGCTAGTATAACTTTCTGGCAATGCAGAAACATGATTGGCAAACGATGGGGTTTGAAGCCAAAAATTATACTGTGGTTGTACGAAACTGTAATTCGGCCAATGATCACATACGGCTCTCTGGTATGGTGGACCATAACTAACAAAGCCAGCACTATACGAAAGCTTCAGCGTTACCAGAAATTGGCTTGTATGGCTGCCACGGGCTGCATTAAAGGCTATACTGGAGATAACACCGCTTCATCTACATATACAACAAGAAGCAACTTTAGCTGCCATTAGACTCAAGACCCTAAATCTTTTAAGTAAGAGTAGAGTCCCCCATACAGGTAGATTGATAGAATTTACTCAAAAAATCCTATCTTACAAGCCAAGTATGATAGGATCCCAAAACAATTTGTATTCAATAAGAAGTACAGGATACAATTGAAGGAAACTGACCATCTGGAAGGATTGGGTCCAAAAGAGCTCAAAGTTTTCACACATGGTTCTAAGACAAATATAGGTGTGGGGTCTGGGGCTTTCTCTGAAGACCTTAATATCAACATATGCACACCGCTGGGTACCCATAACACAGTCTTCCAGGTTGAATTCATCATGGTATCATCCAAGCGGCCATAGCAATAGATGCTAGGAAGGTGAAAGACATCTCCATCAGAATACTGACAGACAGTATGGCAGTACTACAAGTTCTGAGTTACAATGTGGTGATTAAATGAGGTATGTAAGCACAACAATGTGACTCTGCAATGGATCAAGGGACATAGTAGATCTAGAGGCAACGATGCAGCAGCATCCCGAAGTCGCTTCATACAGGGCTGTACATCTTGGCACCCCGAAGTTGCTTGCAACATCAAAGGACTGTTGAACTTCTTCGGGGAAATATCATGGCTCGAATAACCACATTATTCCTGCCCACACGCAAAATACGCGCTTAGACGTGGAGTTGCGGAAAACAGACCGTCGTAAACTAAACTAACAAACGTCAAGGAGTTATGTAAATTAAAACGTTCTTAGGTATCTATTAAGAGAGCTTGTACTCCCATTCTTGATAGCAAATTAATAATTAGAACAACCACCAAAAATACTTCGAAACTGCGTCGCGTTTTGGGTGTTGAATTCTTCCTACTTCACCTAGAGACCTTGATCTATCATCACCCTGGAAGTTATGACGTGTTTGTCCAATGAAATTTAAGCCGCCGAGATCTACTTGTGTTCGCTCAAAACCTATATTTGTCAGTTTGTGAGAACTGCAAACTGCAAGGCTAAATTTTAGAACTGATTATTAAAAAGTATTCACTCTAGGGATCTTATCAAATTATTGTTTAAGTCCAGAAGACGGCAAAGTTAACGAAAACTTTTATTTCGTAATTTTTTCTCATTTATTTTTAATGACGATTGAGCTAAAAATTTTTAGATATCGTAAAAATTAATAAGTGTCCATGTTTTCATATCAATGTATTTTATCTGTACAAATTTTTGTAATTTGTCTAGAACATATAGCGCAAGATTTTAATTCGTTATTTGGTATAAAATAATCACCTAAAATATTAGCACTAGTAAGCCTATCAGAATACTCAGAATAGTGTTATGCATTGAGAGAGGGTTAAACACAAAGGAATGTTTGGGAAATCAAAAAAATACACATTGTATTGTTTTGACGATCAGACAATAAACATCTTATGAAGTACATAATTAATATAGTTTTATTATTTACAATTACAATTATTAAAATAATATAAACAGATTTCAAACTGCTACCATAAGAATTAACGTCGAAACTCATTGTTGGTCCACAAAGCTACCAAAAAAATTACTACAACATACTATTATTAAAATCAATCAAATCGTAAATATTAAAAGGTACATTAATTATTATTTGGTCTAAGTTGCATACTATAAATAACGAAAATTATAAAAAAATATACAAACAACGGAATGTAGACATACCAAAGGTAGACAAATCACCTTTTATTGGTACACATCAAACATCTCTAGATATAACTGGAACATGGTGGGGTCACGTTACTTTAAAATTATTTAATAATTAGAATCAAGGCATGGCTAATGCAATTTTACACTATGTAACACTACGACAATTTCTTATGTTAAAATTATACAGTCTTTAAATTTTAATTGTAAAGAGTACATACATGATTTAATTTTTAATAATATATAAGAAAAAATTACATGACTTGTGCTCTCTATTAGTCAAGTGAGATTATAAAATAGAACTATATAAATAGATATTGATTAGAGTATTTAAAACTTCAAACTGCTGATACTTGCTGGTCGTCGTCTTCGTCGTCCGGCACATCGTGATAATAGTCGTATGGTCGCGTAACACCCTCGTGGGAATGCGCACGACTCAAGCGCTCAAGTCGCGCCACTTGAGCAGCGAGCGTGTAAGGCGCCTGTGGCATTCTTGGAGGTGGAACGGGCCGCACGCAACTAGCCGTAGTGCACGAGCCATGCCCGCTATCGCTCGACGTAGCAGAGCCAGTTTTACGAAGTGGCAAGTTCACTAATGATGTCACACTGCTGCTCTCCGCCGACAAGTCTACCGGAAGCGGAGTTGGGGTATCAGAATGTGATCTTTCGTGCGCTGTTCGGGCACAGCAAATTCCTGGACCAGGGCCGTCACGACGGTGTGCACATGGCGACGGCCCCGGTGGCGGTGGCCTGGGCTGATGTGGCCTAGTTTTAGCTGGTTCAGATAATGCTAATAATTTTCGGACAGCTTGTGGTGAAGCTGCACCAAATTTATTCCCGGCAAAACTTTTCTTACCCTCACTTGCTGATGACGCACTGCTAGTTGTCGATAGCGAAGGCGACGGATGTCGTCGGCGGGGCATAGCTGGGGCCGGCCCGGATCCCTCGCATTCTAAAGATAGCGCATGTAACCTCTCTTCATCCGTTTCCACATGCATACGATTCAAGTATGCCTTTACACGTCTTACCATTTGTGCTTCCTCGAACATTTTTTTGGGATTTGGAACATTTGACGACTTTTTTCTCCTTTTCACAGTTACCTGTCCTTGTTGCACACCAGTTGTGAGCTGATTAAGCGCAACCATGGCGTTAGAAGGCGGTTGCTTTCCTAATTCTAATAATGTCAAAAGATCATATGGAGAACTACACATGTTTGTAAGAGTTCTCACTTCTTTAGCAATCATTCGCAGTTTTTCAAAATTGACCATTCCTTCAACTTTAGTATCATTACCAAGGTGAATAAATGTAAGGTCTTTTCTAACAACTGGGTAAAATGGTATAACTGGCGATCGACCTTGTTCAGTTGTGACTAATTGTCTGTACTTTGACATGTTTCTTGACGGATCCATTAGCATTTGTAAATCGGAGAAAAGTTTAATATATTTTGTAGGTAATTTTTCCCACGTCATTCTTAACCTAGACACAGCTCCGTGTCCTAATCCTGATATTATAGCGAACATTGAATTAAAGTTTTTGCATTCTTTACAGTGTCGCGCGACTTTGATAAATTGTTTTATAATTTTTGAACGCCGCACAATATTTTGTTCATTAACTACTTCTGTAACAACCCAAAACATTTCTTTATTGACAAGTCCAGCAAACTGCGACAGCATTGGTGTACCATATCTGCTTTTCAATTCAAATAAATCATCAACATACTCGGTACTTTCAATTTGCCGAAATATACAGAAATCTTGTAAGGTTAGTTGAACAGCAACCTCAACAGCATTTAGTTGCAAAAAATGAACAACACTCTCCCGGAGTAGTTCGGGCGCCATTTCGTCAGGTACTAAGGTTTCACTAACACCATTTGTTTTTAAATAATATCTAGAGCTAAGTCCAATCCTTTCAGCAAGATTTTGTAACTGGTCTGGTAAACGGTGTTGTTTTATAATTCCTCCTTGTGCGACTGAAACTTCACATAATGAAAAGTTAGAACTAGGATCTGTTATGCCAAATTCTTGCAATGTTAACATTACAACTTCTCTAGCCGTTGTTTCCTTATGGACTAAAAGATATTTACATGTTTGATCAGCTCTGTAAACTTTGAGTACATGCTCGGGATAATCTGAAGATTGATATTCATCATAACAAATTGAGATTAAATCTGGGTTGCTGTGAGAATTATAAAAAGAGGTGCTTGTATTGGCTTTACTTAAAGATTCAGAATTTGAGAGTATACTGTCGTCTGTGTGTATTCCATCAGCAATTGTATTTTTTGGTAGAATATTCATTTTCATAAGAGCTTTTTGAAGTCGCCTTTTTGGGCCAAGAGTCATAAAACCTTTTTGTTGGTCTTTTTTAACACTCAATGGTTGCGGTTTTTTAGTTGGAGATTGAAAACCTGCAGATAATGTTATCGGGTCGTCACTTAATAATTCGGCTGTAGATAATCGAGCTCTTGGATCCATTTGCCAACGCGCCATGTTGGTGCAACCTCGTTGTCTTGGAGAATTTTCTGGCATTAATAACATTTGCTTAAAGGCTAACAAGTTACTCTTTACTGTGATGCTCAAGTGTGTGGAACCTGTAATTATTTCCATAGCTTTTGCATGGCTTACATGTTGAAATGACTGGCCATTTACTTCTAGAACCTGATCACCTCTCTTCAAGCCTACATCTTCTGATTTAGAATGCTTTTCAACTTTTAATATAAAAATTCCGTATCCCCTTTCATAACCACCAAGTATAGTGAAATTTAAAGGTTCGTCTCTTGAAGATCGTGACAATGTAACACTTCTCGTTCTTGCTTTTGCAGAACAAGCTATATTAAGTAATCTCAGCTGGCTTTCCATTTTCTCCCGTTCTAAAGCTGTTTCAAAGTTTTCAAGGAATTCCATCATATTGGGATCTGTTTCGAAATCTGTAAAGTGATTGTTTACCCAAAGCAACACAACTCTCGTAACCTTGTCACGATCACAAGGCTCAGAAAACCAGGCAAGCAACTGTTTAGCAACAATAAGGGGGCTTTCTATAAATGTCCTGTGTGTTAAAAGGAAATCTTCTACATATGTTGAATCTCGTGAGTTGTCTTCAATTAACTGTAACATTAATTGTTCTGGTGTTCCCCTAATTACAACATGTCCCTGTTGATGACCTGATTCCCCAGCTAATCCCCTATATTCTGTCACTAAGACTACAACTCCATTTTCGTTCTCATGTCTCCTTATATTCTCTTCTCCTTGATGCAGAATACGATAGTAATCAGTTTGTGTGATGCATACAAACTGACAGTCATCACATCTGGTTGTCATAACACCTCTGTGATATAGTTTTTCAAGTGTCGCTTCAGCCATTCCAAAACTGTCACCAACATTAAGATACTCAATCTCTCCATTTTGATGTTCAATGCCTACATGCCCATTAATCAGGACTGACCAGGAATCATGTTCTTCTCCATCATTCATGACTACTGTTCCAGCTTTTTCTACCACAGCAAAAACCATTACAGCACAGAGTGCTTTACGCACTGTAAGAGTCATATTTGTAAAAGCTTTTAAATGTTGGGTGAATTCCAAAAGAATTTCAATATCTTCGTCAGTTCTATCACTTGGGTCTTTTTCAAGGCAATCTCTCACAGCATCTCGCACAGTGAGACTATCCATACTCTCTTCCAGATCTTCCTCCTCATCTGAATCCACTATGGATTCAAGGAGACCTGATAGATCTACCTCCATATCCATATCTAAAGAGCTGTGAACTGACGTCATGGTGTCACTGCCACTATATGCCGAGCTGGTATCGCTCGCGTTGGAGCACTTTAGCGTGTGGGGGTACAGTTCCGGACTGTGACGGCCGCCACGTCCACCTCTCAACATTGTGAAGTTTCTAAACTTTCTTGAGTTACTCCAACAACTGAAAAAAAAATGAAATTCATTATTTCCACAATTAATAGTAAATATTATAAGTAAAATATTTTGAAAACATTTAAAATAGTTAGATTAATTACTATTATAAATATTTAAATATAAGTATTTAAATAACTTTCTTTCTTTTGTTCTTAATTTTATAAAAATGGATGTTTTAAAAGTAAAAACATATAAATTATTTAAGTATATATCATGTTTTAAATTAAATGGCCTGAATGTTATGTAACTAGATAATATATAGTAGGCGCGCGAGTTGAATGCAGTCTGAGTCTGAGGTAAAGGGCGGGAGAGTGCCCTCCCGCCGCCCGCTCTACTTGTTTCGAATGCCCGTAGTGTAGCGTGATCCTTGATAACAATCGCACGCGCCCCGATTCCGTTTTAGATTTGACGTATATTTTCAAGCTCAGCATCTCAAGAAGTTACAAAAAAATGTTTTTATTCATCGCCAAACACGGGAAATTTCGAAGAAAGTACTGGATATGTGTGTTGAAGAAAAACAAAAGAAGTTTTTGATCTTGCCATTAAATGATTTGATGATTATTTTGGTCGCCTTTCTAAACGGACATTTGCTGTTATTTAAATAGAAGCTAAACATTCGCCCTCTATAACAGGAAAATCGTGTAAGAAAACAAAAACAAGGCCGAATAGAAGTTTAATACAAAGAACAATAGTAGAATTTTATATAACAAAAAAAAAATTGTTTCTACTTGTCCTAAACTTCTAGCAGCTATTAGAGAAAAATTTAATTTCCACGGGGAGTGATCAGTTTAAGATTAAAACAAATGGGATATAAGGGGCCGAAGTGTGCCAGCTGTTGTATTTGCTCGGTCAACATATTTGCAAAAATCCGTCAATATATAGACAATAAAAAATTGAAATATTTTTGGGTGAAACGTGGGTTGATAATAGTTTAACTTAAAAAATGCTGGAGTAATATTAAGATTGATGCGGTGTTGACGAATACCAGTTCCACAAACAGGCTCATTCTCGTACACGCAGGTTCGCGAAGTGGTTTTTTTTTAAATAATGCTAAGCTGCTTTTTAAAGCTGGTACTCTATCAGGAGCTTATCGCGGCCAAATGAATAGTGTGAACTTTGAAAAGTGGGTCTCTAAAAAGTGCGTCATCATAATAACGCACAGTGACACAGTGTACAAGAAAATAAAGTCCTAAGTCCTGCATGAGAATGAGAAAAGACGTTAAAAGTAGATCAACTCATAAGGAGCCATGGCCATGTTGTAGTTAGATTACCACCGTATATATGTGATCTCAACCACATTGAGTTGGCTTGGACAAAAATAAAAAGAATTGTTAGACAACACAACATCAGTTCAGACTTAACTTTATAACAAAACCTAAAGATCCTTGCCCTACCCTTGGAGGCGGGTTTGCTTCTCGCCAGATGATCCCAGCGTTGTTCTGTTGTGCTACAGGGAGTGTAACTTTTTATTTCATTATCTGTAGGTACCACAGATGATGGAATAAAAAGTTCCAGCAGAACCCAGCCACGGTTTGGTCGCTCCTGCAAAATTGCATTACGCCATAAGCAAGAATGCTACCAGGCTTAGGCTCACGCATCAACGTCTCGGGATACAAAAGAAGTACAATTTCGCCTCCAGGTCCTTGAAGTGTCATTGTTAAAGCAACGTCAGAGCACATCAGCAGAATTGGCAAGAAACTAGTTCGTCTGTGCACGTGCATTCTGGTCCCTCGCGAAGGCTGTCCAAAGGAACTTCTGTCAACCATATCTTCTATCTCTGCACAAGGAGGACGACTCATGGCCCATGCCGCAAAGGACAAAGCCGATCTGCTGGGCTCTCTCTTTACGTCCAACTCGACGCTTGATGACGGGGGGAACACATCGCCGACAATCCCGCGGTGTGAGTTCTCCATGCAGGATGTGCTGTTACCCAACACTCGGTGCGTAGGGCCCTCCTCTCTCTGGACGTCAACAAGTCGAGTGCTCCTGATGGCTTCCTTCCTATGATGTTGCAGACGTGTGCTCCGGAGTTGGCACCGGTTTTAACGTCATGCAGGATGTGCTGTTACCCAACACTCGGTGCGTAGGGCTCCTCTCTGGACGTCAACAAGTCGAGTGCTCCTGATGGCTTCCTTCCTATGATGTTGCAGACGTGTGCTCCGGAGTTGGCACCGGTTTTAACGCGTTTTCCGGTACTCTTTCTCCCTAGGCGTAGTCCCGAAATCATGGAAGACGACTTTAGTGCACCCGATCCCTAAAAAAGGTAACCGCTCTGATCCGTCCAACTACAGGACTATCGTCATCAACTTGTTCTCTAAAATAATGGAGTCCATTATTAACAGCCAGCTCATGCGGTACCATGAGGATCACCAGTAGTGACCGCCAGTACAGTTTTCGTCGCCGTCGCTCGGCTGGTGATCTTCTGGGTTACCTAAACTCATAAATGGCTGAGGCAGTAGAGTCCAAGGGTTATGTTACATAGGCCGCTCGCACAACTTCTTTGTGAATTCGACTACCACCATAGATTTTTCTGGACCGATACGACTTAGGGACCTTCAAGAAAAGAGCCTACTCCTTTTTAAAAGGCCGGCAACGCATCTGCGATTCCCTCGATGAAGCATTTGTTCGTGGGCGGCGGTAATCACTTACCATCAGGTAAGCCATATGCTCATTTGCACCCTCTCCTATATATAAAAAAAAAAGATATTACAGAGTTAGCACTTAGATCACAGAGGAAGACTGGCGCGGCTTTGACGATCATTTATAAAGCTTGGAACAAAATTATTGGCAAAGATGATTGTTAAACACTGACTATTATTCTCTACTGAAAAAATAAATCATACTTTGACAATTATTATTGTGCTTTGTTCAATATTTTAAATTTAATCAAAATTGTTTTGTAGATACAAGGATATGTATGTGGTTACAAACATTCACAAAAACTTTCACCTTAAATTTAAAATTTCTTATTTAATTTGCAGCGTATCGACATATCACTTATTAACACAATACTAGTGTATTCCTAAGCTCTGCAAGAAACTCGTGCTTTATGTATGTATTTATATTATATAGTAAAATAAAATTTTCCAAGAATGGGTGGAGCCATTGGTATGACATTCAGGATTGTAAAATTATTGAGCAAGTATGCCCTAATAAAAACATGAGTAATGTTTTCAAAACGTATGAAAATATTTACAGAATAATTCCAAGTAAGTCATTTGCATCTTTATAGACCAACTTTTGATCATAATACCACCTGAAGGAAAGCAGAGTTGAGGGTCAAAATGTTATGAGAAGACTAGAAAATACCTATTCACTCTAATCTTTAATATATCATGATTGGAAAATTATACTGCTTTATTTGCATCTGACACTTGCCATCGAACATCTGTAAGTGTAAATAAATATTGTCTAAATCTTTATCTACAATCATCCATGATGCCAAAAGGGTTTAATCGCTCAATGGTGTGAAAAGTAAAACTAATGTGTTTCCAATAACATAGCTGTGGAAACCCGCACAAGATGGACAGTTGCATTCAAATAAAGGTATTCCATATACCTAAGCCAACCACATTTTATTTATGTCACTGTTAAGAAAATCATGTATAGCTCTTTAAGCACAAGATGGTGGTGGACTGAATTAATATTTAAGCGAAACAGTTTAATGTTGGTTATATTAAATGATGATTCTTTGATTTTTATATAAAAAAAAGAATTACCCACAAAAAGTAATTTCTTCAATGCCACTTGGATATTTATTTAACTTATACAAATTGTACAGCAATGTACTAGCTGGTCATGATAATAGGATTTTAAGAGTACCCTTAACCGACGAGCATGTATGCATAGGTATATGGATGTGGAAGAGGCGAGAGAGGTGTGTCAGGATTGTGCCAAATGGAAGTCTGTAGTCCCTGCCTACCCTCTGGGTGACAGGGGTGAGTGCTTATGTATGTATATTTTTTATAGCATTGGGTGACAAACGGGCACACAATCCACGTGATGGTAATTGGATGCTGTGGTCCATAGACATCCACATTTATCCTCAATTAAGAATCAAAATTCAAATGCGTTGTCACCCCTGAGGACTAAGATGGAATGCCTCAATTCCAGTAAAACGGGTCTCCAGTTCTCTACACTCACCATATGAAACACAGCAGCCTTATGCTGCTATTTTATGCTCGTATTCTGTGAGAGTGTGGTCCTTCCACGGTCGAGCCGACCCATTCATGCTACATCTAAAATATAGCTGCAGCTTGGCTCTACGACGTAAAAAAGATACTTGGCTTTGGCTTTAGAATGCACTGTTGACAATTTTTAAAAAAAAATTAGAATTCAAATTCAGACATATTAAGACTTCAGCTGATTAAAGATTCACACTAACAAAAACAAAACTGAATGTATTGTTAATACTATATTAAAGCATAATTCAACCTAATTTTTTTATAGACATCTATGTTTATCCTCGATTAAGAATCAAAATGCAGATGTGTTGTGGCCAAAGTTGGAATGCCTCGTTTCCAATAAAATGGTTTCCAGTTCTCTACCCTCACCATACAAAACACAGCAGAATTGAGCTGGTATTGTGAGTCGAAACCTTCCCTGGTCGAGCGGACCCATTTGTGCCACACCATATAGTTACAGTATGGTTCTTCTACGTAAAAAAGGTGATTTAATAAATAAGTACTTGCAAAAAAACACATACAAAGTGTCTGACTTGACATGCACAAAATTATATAACAAATTATATTATGACAGTGGTACACTTTAATTTTAATTATATTATTTTATAGCATAACAGACATTAAAAAAAGTCAAATGTTAAAAGCCAAATAAAATTATTTGTCAGAAATAAGGACATGGTCCACCTGATGGTAAGTGGTTGCTGTGGCCCATAGACATCTACATCTATCCTCGGTTATGAATCAAAATGCAAATGCGTTGTCACCCGTGAGGACTAAGGTGGTCTAGCCAACCCATTCATGCTACAACTATACTACCAATATAGCTGCAGTATGGCTCTACCACGTAAAATATACTAGTTGAGACTCTATTATTTCTGTATTATTATTTGTACTTTTAAGCTGGTATTCCGAGACAATCTCAAATTTCACAAGGTCAAAATTTGAATATAGATCTCAAAAGATGATAGCCAAATAAATATTAACAACTTTAAGTTTGAGTTTAAAATCTAGCTTCTCTCTAAATACCGGCTTACATATTGTATAACCTCCTCTCTCTATGGTTGCCACACTCAAAACTTATTTTCTCGGAACAGTTCAATGCTATTAGATCGCATATGCATTTACCAGCTTGAATGGATCTATGCTCCCAGGAGGCAAGCACAACAGAGTAAAAGAAGGTCAAATATTCCATCAGTTTATCATATCAAATATTGGTTGTTTACTCTAATGGATAAACAGACTTCATTCTCAATACTCAGTCATACTTATTTTAATTTCTGCTAAAAATTCACACTGTACTCGTTTGTTCACACAGTTACCAAGTGTTATCATTTTGTATTTTTATCCAAGACATTGTATTATTTTTGTATTTTTCTGTGAACAGTTTAACACTCTAATTAATACTTAGAAAATTGAAAATATTTTTAGTTATTTTCAGTGTAAACCTATAAATCTGTTTTACAGATTATGTGAGTTAGATAAATATCCAATAAGATGTAGCAAATATTATGGCAATATGTACAACATTATATTAACCCTTTACCGCAAACTGTGACAAATTTGGAACACAAGTTATTTGTCGTAATGAAACTGTCTCTAACGTCTTTTCTGTGCTGGATTTTGCACTACTCTTACCAAGGATCTTTTCAACAAAAATAGTACAGGTGGCATCACTATAGGAGCATGTGGTATCTGTACTCTGATGGTAAAGTAGTCGAGTCCACCATTTTGCTTGCGTGTTAATTTGTAAATAGTAGATTATAGATCTTACACCGTATTTAAAAAAAATACGCGATAGCCTTATTCACAATGTAGAAGAATGGATCCTCAACATTTTTACGGTATTAAACGTAAGTGATACATAATTAGTCCTCAAAAGTACGGGTCAAATATGGAACACCATGCAGTAAGAATTTTATTAGTAGTGCCAATTTTGGAACAACATGCAGTTTAGTAGAAAACCAAATTTGGAACATCATGCAGTGCGTGTTAATAATATAATTTTATTTTTTATTTTTGGAAAACTCCGAAATTTTACTCGAATTAAACCTTGGATCATCCCAGATAGTGCCAAAAATATTTATCTGCAAAAAAGATCTTATGAAACATAAAAGAGGACATTGCACAGAAAAATCTACTGTCATCCATGATGTCCAGATATCAGTAATAAATTGGGTGGACAACAAGACCGTGAGCTTATGTCCATGTCGTATGTAGGAAAGGATCCAATGGGGTCCGTGTCTAGATTCATAAAGCAAAAGAAGGCAAAAGTAGATATCCCATGTCCAAAAGCAACAGCAATATATAACGAATATATGGGCGGTGTTAACCTTGAATTAAAATAAGAAGCAAAAAATGGTACCACAGGATATTTTTTCACATGGTTGACCTAATATGCGTCAACAGCTGGCTCCTGTGGTGAAGGAGCATGGTGCAAACAGAAGAAGTCATGTATATGCCCTTCATGGATTTTAAATTGCATGTTTACGCCAACGACAAGAAAAAGAGGTCGTCCACTTACCCAAGTGGAAAATATTAAGAAAAGACGAAGACTGGAACTACCACTAATAGAAATAGCAGAAGATGGCTTTAATTATTGGCCACAACGGAAAAAATGATCGCCAAAGATGCAAATCTAAGGGATGCATCCATAAATCACAAATAATGTGCAGTAAATGTGTTACTTGTGTTTAAACAAAGATCGCAAATGTTTCACATTATTGCATACATAAAAGTTATAATTTAAAAAATAATTAATAAAAGTTACATATACATTTTTTATTTTATATTTACTTCATGAAGTTCCAAAAATGGAACATTCAATATTGCGTGCCTGAATGCATGATGTTCCAGATTTGGAACAAAGACTTTTCCCCCTTAATTTTTCAATAATGCAATTTGTTTTTTTTTTCTATTTTTTTAGGCCTTCATTTAGGCAACTTATCAACATATATTTTTTCCGAGTGATTTAAAAAATCCATGCGATAAAGGGTTAAGATAAACTGTAATTATTTGCAATCTTTCTGAAAAGATATGAGGCATGAGAGTGACCAGCCTGGCAAGTGACATTAAATCAGTATTATGTAATAATGTACTTGCACTCGCAACACTTACCCATTTATTCTACTTGCCCCTGTAGAGTATTAAGCAGATTAGTGGATATTATAAATAAAAATTTTCCATGCACTTAAAAGCTGAAATTACCACTATTATAATAGAAAAAACAAAGGTAATTAGTGCTCTAATGGAAATAACTCTTACTGATAGATCACATGGCACTGTCAGCCTTTAATTTATTCATTAATTTGACCTTGATGTACAGTTTCACCACTTTGTAATTATTGTGTCATATTTAGGTTCAGGTGTACAATAATAGAACAGGCAAAAAAATTTAAACACAATCCCACCTGGTGGTAAGTGAATTGAAACCCTAGATAGTAAATTGTATAATAGTATTCATTAGAGATGAACCGTTAAAAATTTTACAAAGCTACAGAGTACTGAAGTACTCTACTACTCCATTTTACATTAGAGGTAAATAGAGCTGAGCCGGAGTACTCAGTTCAATGTGAATGCATTTCTGAGGTAGGAAATAAATTATAATCATGCCTTCGATGCACAACTGCCAGGCCTCAACTCCAACTCATTGTCCAAATCTATTATTCATTCATTCATAAAAAAATCAATAAATTCAAAATTAAAAATATATACATCAATCAATAAGAGAGCAGGGCAATACTAATTTATCATAGTTGCTACACTTTGCTGGCAGTTTAGCAACTGCAGTTTTTTATTTTAAGTTATTATCAAGAAATTGCCCATCTGATTCAGTCTCAATCTGTTGCCATATATGGCATCCTCAGGATGCTATATTTTATTATCTTACGACGCCACTACATGGCATACACTTCTATCAGCTTCAAAGCCACAAATTGCTTATAGCATGTTTCTATTTATTTAAAAACCTTATATGTTGTAAGGAAATAATATTTATGTTTAGTTCTTTTTATGTATATGGCCACATTTGTAAAATTAAAAAAATTGTCATTGCTTCACTTACTTACAAAGCATGCTTATGCTTTGTAAAATATTATAACTAAGAATTTATTCTTTGAACCTCTATCTATTAGGCTTAATACTAAATACACTGAGTACTGAGTAATAAGCAAATACTTGGCGCATCTCTAGTATTTATATTGTGTTACGAATGAGGGTAGGAAACCATTAAAATTCCTTAGACAGGACAGGACTAGCTTAAGTTATTCCACAAGTCTTAATTTCCGTAATATTCTATTCATCATGGTTATGCTTTCAGTACTAGCAAATAAGGTGATATTGCAGCAAAGGGCAGCCTTTATGTCACATTGTGATCGACAAAGTTGCTGTTGGTTTGCATACTTTATTTGTTTTGGTGGTGTATTCATTTGCATTGCTGCGTTGAAGAGTTTAATTAATTTATTATAATGTAAAGTCTAAGAAGTAATAATTTATTTAAATAGTTTTAAGAATATTGTCTATTAATTTATTGCAAGAAGTTATGTTATAGACAAATATTATAAATAAGTAATAAAGTTACTAATCCTGCGGTTATATTTACAAAATTACCATGCTCGATCACATCTTTTTAAGAAATTTATCTAATAAATGCTAATATATCCAAGAGGAGTTTACATATACATACATATATTCCAAGAGTTATATTGGTGTAGTATAGACCCATTTACTTTGTACACAAACAACATATTGATATCAACACAACTATGTTTTTAAAATATGAAGTGGCAATTGTTACAACGGCATCATCTGTAGAGTCCTAGTTAGACTGCATGGATTAATTTTTCGCAAAATTTTCAATTTTCATTCCTTAATTCCGAATGCACTTACAGGCGTATTTAATAGTATTTTAAGAACTATTTTATGTGTCAATGTATAGCACAATATATTAATAAGCAATAGTGTAAACATTAAACAAAAAACTCAATTTAAGAACCTTCACAATTTCTATTTATTTTGCATTCATGGCGGAACTGTCAGTGCTTCCATGTTGCTTTCTAATTAGTCTTCCACCATTTTCAACTGACCGACGCCTCTTAGATGTCTATCACAGCACAACACATAAAACTACAGTATGAACACTATTTATTAGATATTAATTAATTCAATTTACTAGAGATTTTGAAGACAGTCAAAGTCAGTTTTATGAAATTTAGAAAGCTATACTTTCTCAACGTAGGACAACTCGTAGCCACAGATAAGAATTTTAAATAGTACAAAGTACTCTGTGGCTAGCTACAACTACATTTTTATTTATTATCTATGATTTAAACCAAAAATCCAAAAAACGATTGTCAATTTTAAAGAAGTCCTTAGAGCAACGCAGTGCATTCATTCTCATCATCATCATTACAGCCCTTCACAAGTCCACTGCTGAAAGTAGGCCTCCCCCAAGTAACGCCACAAAGCACGGTCCTGAGCCACCTGCATCACGCATCACGCAAAGAAACTCCGAGCATAGCCCTCTCCATAGCTCGCTGAGCGACCTTGAGCGTCCTCATACGGCCAGCAGTGAAGGACCACGTCTCTGATCCGTAAGTCATCACTGGCAACACGCACTGGTTGTACACTTTAGTTTTCAGAGATTGAGGTATACCTGACGAGAAGATGTGTCGTAATTTCCCGAACGCTGCCCAGCCGAGTTGAATCCGTCGATTGACCTCTCGGTCGAAGTTGGACTTTGTCCCAGGTAAACGTACTCGTCAACAACTTCGAGCATAGTGCTCCCAACAACTACCGGCATAGGTGTGACATGGACATTAAACATGATCTTTGTTTTGTCCATGTTCATCTTAAGACCTATCCGTTGGGAGACACTATTGAGGTCATTGAGCATAGTGCTAAGGTCCTCCAGCGATTCTGCCATATGGACTATATCGTCGGCAAATCGAAGGTGAGTGATGTACTCGCCATTGATGTTAATACCGTATCCTTTCCAGTCCAGTAGCTTGAAAATGTCTTCCAACGCAGCGGTGAAGAGTTTCGGGGATATAACGTCACCCTGTCTTACACTCTCTGCAGTTGGATAGGTTTCGAACTCTGGTTCTGTACTCGGATAGCCATCGTAGCCCTACTGTACAAACACTTCAGCACTTCGATATACCGGCTGTCAACTTGGGACCGCTGAAGGGACTGTAGCACCGCCCAAATTTCGACGGAATCAAAGGCTTTCTCATAGTCCACATACGCCAGGCAAAATGGCAGATTGTACTCTTCGGTCTTCTGTACAATCTGCCGCAGGGTATGTATGTGGTCTATGGTACTGAAGCTTTTTCGGAAACCGGCTTGTTCGGGAGGCTGGAAGTCGTTGAGTATGCGTGCGAAACGATTCATAATGACTCGAAAACAGCACGTAGACGCGGCTCAGAAGGGAAATCGGTCTGTAGTTCTTCAAGAGAGCGTTGTTGTCTTTCTTAAAGAACAAGACCACCGCACTTCTGCTCCACGCCTCCGGAGTTGTGCCACCATAGAAGACGGAATTGAAGAGCTTCTGAAGGACTTCAAGTACCGGTGTTCCACCCGCTTTCAGAAGCTCCGCTGTAATTCCATCCTCGCCTGGGGCCCTGCCGTTTTTAAGGTGCTGGAGAGCCATTCTAATCTCGCTCAGACTGACGTCCGGGATATCATCGGAATAGTGTCGGGTAAGACTTGCTCTTGGATCGTTACTCACACTTGCGTGTGGCTCCAACGATGATGTGTACAGCTGCCCATAGAACCTCTCAATCTCACTCAAAATCACAGGTGTCCCGGAAACGATGCTGCCACACTCAGTCTTCAGCTTTGACAGTTGGCTCTTTCTGGCAGACAGATCTCTTGCAAAGACTTTGGAGCCCTGGTTCCGCTCGATCGCTTCTTTAATAGGAGCAGTATTAAAGTTGCGTAAGTCTCGCCGCATGCATTTGGAGATCTGTCTGTTCAGTTGTCTGTATGCTGTCAAATCTGTTGACGATTGCAGCCTCATCTCCCGTCTAACAGCCATGAGATTAAGAGTGTGATCGGAGAGTTTTTGTGTGTTCTGCGGCGGGTCTTGCAGAACTTAGCTCCGACCGCATGACAGTTTCCACGAGCTTGTCATTCATATCGTCCACTGCATTGCAATCTTCTAGGCACTGAAAGCGGTTACGTAACTCGAGCTGAAAGGTTTTGGGATTCTGAATTAGAGCACGAGGGGGACGGAGCGTTGACTTCATTACACGAGACCTCTCCAACTTAACGTTTAGGTTCAGTGTGCCTCTAACCATTCGGTGATCGCTGCCGGTTTTCACCCTTGCGATCACTGAGACATCACTGAACAGTTGGCGTCTGGTCGTCATAATGAAGTCAATGTAATTTTTTGTCGAACCATCGGGGCTCGACCAGGTCCACTTCCTGTGGGGCCGCTTCTGGAAGAAAAAGTTCATCATACAGAGTCCCTCTTTCTCCATAAAGTCAGCCAGCTGCTGGCCCCTACGGTTCCGTTGCCCTACTCCAAATTTCCCTAACTTCAGCTCACCGCCTTCTCTTGTGCCTAGTTTTGCGTTGAAGTCTCCCATCAACACCGTGTAGTGGGTTTTGGAGGAATGCATGGCTCTAGAAATATCCTCATACATTTCTTCCACCTCCTCATCGGGATGTGCCGAGGTTGGTGCGTAGACCTGTATGACCTTCAGCGAATACCTTTTAGTGATTCTGAGTATCAGGTACGCGACGCTCGTCGACACACTCCCAATCTTTACAACGTTGTTGACGTGAGACTTGTGGACGATAAATCCGGCACCTCCTTGGGACAGATGGTCGCCCTCCCGGTGATAGAACAAGTTGCCGGACTCGAGGATTGCCGTGTCCTCCTCCTCTCTTCGGACCTCAGATAATGTCTACCTCTTCTTCCAGCTCCAGTATCTTCTCGTCAGTCCTCAGGATGCGTGCGTTATACGTTGTCAGGTCGAGTCGCCGTAGGTGGCAACCGAACCTCCACCGGAGATTCTTAGCACCCTCTGCCCCGCCGTTACCATGGTCGCCACCGTAGCCAGGAATAGCGGGGCCGCCGGGGACTGGGGGCCGTTTGTTTGCGTCGTTGCTCATAGGGGGATATTTGCCATAGTTGCCACGCTTGGCGAGCGGGTTGGCAACCGCAGTTTTTTATTATGTTATTGTTGTTATTAGGAAGATGCTGCTGCCCATCTCCTTTCTGTGTCCCTCTGTCGCCTCTTAAGACACCCACGGGAAGATATGGGGTAGTGGATATTCTCAACCGCCACTACCCGACATATGCATTGTTGCCGCGCATCTCACAGTTACACGTCAGTCATTACGGGGTGGCATTCACTTTCACAGTACGATGGGACGGTAATCCCACACAACCGGCGGAGAGAGATCAGGCGTACATCGCCAACTTCCTTATTCCGGAATTATAAACCGGGATCTCATGATCAGCAATCTCGTTTACGACCAGTAGAACAACGAGGCAGTCAAACAATTGTGCTTGTAGGCGTGTGTAACTCTTTACGGAACTAACTCACTGATCGGAATCACTAAAGTGATTCAAAAGATTGGTTCAGTAACAACGTTTCAAATGCCTCATTTAGATCTGAAACATTACTTAGTTCTGTGCTCATTTCGCGCGGCGCGTCGCTCGCGAGGCGACTGAGCCACGAACGAGAGAGTGGCGAGTGAGCCGGCCAATTACAATCTATACAAGTGAGAAAGAGATAAAAAATGAGAAGTGTACAACCCAACTCGTATGAAATTACGCTGTAGTTATTTATGCACATAAATTTACGAAAACGTACTGAGTTTAGTAGTATTGTTTGGATTTCTTCGCGTAGTGATTATTGTGATTATTTTTCCTTTTCATCATAAATAATACGCCAGCTGGCAATAAAGTAAGGACTAACCGCCGGTCCTAAGCCTGGATAAAGTATGAAGGCTGATCGATTTTATATACAACCTTATTACTATACACAATAAATAACTATACAATATATAATAAAAATAACCTAAGCACTTATATCATACAGCATTGTTGGCACATAACATTTCACTGAATCAATCAGTAATAAACGCCCGCGACGCAAATTAATGTATTCGTAACATTCTGTGTTGTATATCTTTTGAGTCGATGATCCAAATGAGCCGAATGAAACATATCAGTGTTTCGGAACATTTCAGTGATCGAGATACAAATGTTCCAATCGCAAAAATGATACACTTGCTCAGTGCACAGTGGATCTTGTCAAATGATTTAAATATTCAGCTCAATCCCAACACGATTCTGAATATATTATAAGTATAATTTAATATAATCGATAACTACTTTATATCAAAATATTATACAAAATAAAGGCCGAATAAGTCGAATCGAAACATGCCACTTCGTAGCAAATTTTTGTAAAATTAGGCCTAGCACGCACCACGATTTTTCTTTTTGCGACACGATTTTAAAATCACGCTGTAAAAAATCGCAAAGCGTACGGTGCGCGCACTGCGATAAAAAAATTGTGATCTTTTCTCAGTTACACCATGGATTCCGTACAAGTTGCTTGTCTTTATTTAGTACTTCGGAGGATCAGAAGAAAAAATAATAAAATTCGTCAATACTGGATCCATCCTTTTACAGCGGATAGAATTATCAAAGGTTTCTTTTATCAGAAATATCATGAAATTCGGATGTATCCCAAAAAATTCTTTGGCTATTATAGAATGAAAATTCAAACATTTGACAGATTACTGAGAATTGTTGGACCTCATATTGAATACAAAAATACTTGATGGCGAAATGCAATACCAGCTGAAGAAAGGCTGTCAGTCACCCTCAGGTAAGTAAAACAAACAAATATATTATAATTATTTAGTATATTAAGTTAATAAGTACCTATAAAATTTATTAAAGCGTCGACATTGTCACGTCAAAGTAATCTCAGAGTCTTGAGAAATCTCGGATTCAGAAGCCTGCAAATCTTGTCCAAATCGTTCATAATAGTCATTGCTCGTATTGAATTCATTGAAATTCTCTTCAATCAACGGTTTTTTTGCAGAGAGTTTCTTCGTGCTGATTCACAATATTTCGTGGATTAACAAAACTAGACGAGGATGTTCCCGGCTCGGAATTAATAAAAATATGTGGCACTGGTATTTGTGTATGTCGGTGGAGTAATAGTTACCAGAATTTTATTAGCTAATCCAGGGTGTATAAACTGTGGAAGATTTAGCATTGGTGTGGAATATACAGGTTGGAAAGTATTTTGCATTGATACGGGGTATGTAGGTTGCGCGGTATGCATACCAGTATTTGATCCGGGACATACATTCTGAGAAGCAGTTTGCATTGATCCGGGGTATAAAGGCTGCGGAAGATATTTTTTAGCCCTATCCATGGCATTTAAAATTTCGATTTTTGCATAAAATTTTTGATCCTCATTTAGTTTCCGTAACATTGGACATCTCAACATCCTCGTCAAGAATTTGTTTCTTACGTAAAATATTCAATAGATCCTCTTCATCAGTATTTTCTTTTCGTCCTTGAGCACCTGTCTTACATTGGTATATAGCTTTTCTGGAATCCTGCTTCTGTTGGCTATTATCCTCGTCCGATTGAGTTTCCGAATTTGCACATTCTTCAATAGATTTGATATTGCCACTAGTGTTTCTTGGAGTAGTAATAGGTATCAAGAATGATAGTTGATCAAAGAAAATGTACTTTCGTTTCTTCTTACCAGATTGACCCGACTCACTTTTTTTTGCGCACCTAACTTTCTAGAAAAACAGTCCTTCAAGTTCTTCCACTTTCTCTGCATATCAGCACCTGTAAAATAAATGAAAATTTTTGACCGAATTCGTCTATTGCGTACACAGCGCAATCTCAAAGCGTTTTTTTATTTTTATTGTAGATGGGCATGTTGGTCGCAAGCCAGGCGGCCCCTTGCGGAGCCTACCACCGCTGGTGGGATCGTTTAGCCGCCAACAGACGTTGCCCGGGGTGGACCGCTAGGAGATAGATCCCACCCACCCCAAATACTATAAATACTCTTAATTTCTACTATTTTTCTTTCTTTCAGATATCTTGCATCGGGAAACAGTTTTTACTCTTTTTATTACGAATATTTATTAGGAGCTACCACAATTCGTGAAATAGTAGAAGATACATGTGAAAAGCTATGGTTTTGTTTGCATCTAATATAAATATGCCCGAACCGAAAGAAAATGATTGGTTAAAAATTGCTGAGGGTTTTTATAAAAGAACAAACTTTCCTAGTTGCTTGGGCGCGGTGGATGGAAAACATATTAGACTGGAGAAACCAAATGGAGCGGGAGTAATTATAAACAATATAACTCTATATGCTGTAGCTGATTCAAATAAAAAAACATTTCTACTTACTAACCATTCATTGGAAAATGACCTGTTATATATATATACCTCAACCAAGAAATTTACCAAATGATACAGATGGACCTAAAATGCCGTTTGTTTTTGTTGGAGATGAAACATTTGCACTCTCGAAACATATCATGCGACCATATCCCAGACGGAATTTATCAATTAATAAACAGAGAGTGTTTAATTACCGGCTGACAAGAGCAAGAAGAATGGTAGAATGCACCTTTGGAATTTTAACAAATAAATAGCGTATCTTGAATCGATCATTAGACGTTAAAATTGAATTTTGTGACAAAATAGTCAAAGCATGTTGTATCCTACACAATTTTGTACGGAAATACGATGGAATACAATTCAAAGACGAAATTAATTGTATTGAAATACGAGATTATTTTGGAAACTACTTCGCTTCATCCAGTGGATCTATTCCGTGGCAATATAATAAAATATAATAAATCTTACCGTGTTTTTTTTATTTTGGTTGCTTAGTTCAGCCCAGTTTCTGTATAACATTTTCGCATACTTCCTGCCATAAACGCGTTTTCAAATTTCTATCACTATATTCTTTGGAATGGTTATTCCACAAAGGTGGTTTTTCTTGTACTGTGATTATCAAATGTTCCACGTCTATCTTTGTGTCGTTTGGAGACGGAGACTCCATTGGAGATGCAGGCGCCGTCATGTTTACTGTTGAAAGGACAGAACATGAATGAAGCGCCGGCCGGCCCGAGTGCGCGATTTTACGATCGCAGTGCGCGCGGGACCATACAATTTCATACCCTGCATTTTATTTTCGCGACAATCGCGTCGCGAGTAGTCGCGTCAAAATGTGACAAATCACAATTTTAAAATCGCTGCGATGTTTCACTCGCATGTGCGCGCACTGTTTTACTAACTCATACGTTGCATTTCTGCGATAAAATAATCGCGCGGGAAAAAGTCGTAGTGCGCGCTAGCTCTTAAACTGGTATCACTGCAACCAAAAGTACTGCAATGTAGTGATGTATGCCACAACTTTAGCTATCGATAAGTTAATTAATCTATCGGGTTTGTCTGCCGAACAGGTTTTTATTTTTTGTTTAGATTTTATAATGAAGTATTACAAAAAGTAGTTTTTAGTAGTAGATTTTCTGATATTGGTTTAAATAATAATAAATAAAAATAGTGTATACAGCAAATGATCATACATAAATTGTATCCTTTTAAGTATAAAAACTTGTGTTCGGAGACTCCACTTTTCCATAGCACTTACATTGCTATTTGAATGATATTTATATAATAATTAACAATAAAATAAAAAATAAAATATTTTACGCCAAAGATGTGTTTGAATGAGTGAATGAGGGAGTGTGCGCACGCGTGTGTGTGTGTGTGTATGTGTTATAAAAGTACATTATTTCATTTTGCTTAAAAGAGCCTCAGTATCATCATAGCTCTTATAAAATAGCCATTCAGTTAGAACATATTTGCAATTATGGTATATAAGATGATGGATTTTTATGCTTTTATTAATGGCGTTGAATAGAGTGACTGACTGTTTTACATATTGCCTCTCAGCTAAAACGGTTTTAACAGCGACATCTGTAGCCGCTACATTTTTCCTTCTTTTGGCTTCAATACAACGGTTTAACTTTAAAACTTTATGCAGTCTTAGAACTGAATATAAGATGTACGGTTTCCTAACAGTAAGTACATTACATATGGCATAGAGATCTTCTGTAGGGAACTCTTTACTTTAAAATCCATAATTTTCAGTAAATTTCTCTGTGCTCTATCAACTTCTAGAATGGTTTTTGTAGCTCCACCCCATACAGGAACACATTATACTGATACTAAGATAGATAGAGCTAAAGCAATATATATTTGGTATAGTAACTTTTTCGTCTTAGTGTTTTAAATCGTAGACTAGTATATAGTAATCTGTGGTATTAAACTCCATGTAAGTTTCCCATAGAATACTATAATACATTTATGCAATTCAATGTGTCTATGCCATGACCAATGTTGGTCAACTATGACTCCTAAATACTTGGTCTCATAGAACTTACTAATTGATGAGCAGATGCAACAAGTACTTGAGGGATCATAGCATGTCTAAAGTTTAATTTGGAAATTAATATTAGGCTGAGTTCGAATATAATTTGTAAACCTTATAATATAACTAATTTTCAAAGTATTTGAAGTAAGTAGGTTAGTGTTCAGCCACTTAGCGATCCTAGAAAGACCTTCTTCAGCAGATCTACGAACAGAAACCCAGGAGTCATCACTACTTACTAAATTACTGCAGTATCATCTGTATAAGATTTTGATAAATCATATTTCATACCCCAAGTTATCAATAAAAGAAGGTTAGCCGATACTGATGAACCAACATTGAACTTGTGGGAGGTAATGTGTAGCTGTAATTGTATTAATAGATTAAATAGTTTTATTATTACCATTGACACCAATATATTATTTTTGAAAATATTTTAGAATTTCGACAAGTTTACAATTATAACTTTTTATATTAAGGCGAACATTACACATTAAATGAAATTAATTTTATGGATTTTATCGCGTTAAATGGTGACTTTTGATTCTCGACTTTTCGGGTGCTCTACAGTATGAACTTTAATGTCGCACCTTTGACAAAATTCGGCACGTGCTAAGGCGGGGCGGCAAAAAAAAAACGACCGTATCTAAGCGAACAGACCAAGGGAAATTAAACTAACTACGGGGTCGATATTATATCTGATAAGTTAATGACGCATTAGCGTTTTTATTGCTCAGTATAAGCACAACGTGAAAGTACCCATAACTAACTTTTTGATTAAATATGAATTAAAATCTGAGTTTGATGAGGATTTCAAAAAGTTACCCCAATTATATTTACTCATAAAATCATAATTTTATATAACACTAAAAACCCTTCACTGCTGGCCTTAAGAAGATGCTCAAAGTCACTCGGCGAGCTACGGAGACGGCTATGCTTGGGGTTTTCAGCATGATAAACATAGAAATAAGGATATTCACAGTAGGAACAAAGAGCCCGACATAGCTCAACGGATTAGTAAGATGAAGTGGCCGGCCATGTAACTCGATGAATTTACAACCGATGGGGGAAAAAGGTTCTCGAGTGGTGGCCTCGTACCGGTGGGTGAAGTGCAGGGCTACCCCCAAAAGAACACATGTAACTACCCTACACATGAAGTCGATGGATGCAGGTGGATCAGACCCGTGCTTTGTGGAAGTGTGAGTTAATTGACGCCCAATCTATGGAGAATGGACAAGAAAATAGTGCGCAAAAGGCCGCTGCCTGGAGGACGCTGGGGCGCGTCTGGAGCTGGCGCTGGACATGACAGCCGAGCGCGTGGCGCTGCAAGACCGCTCAACAGCCCCCCGCATCCATCATCCCCACCAGAAGACTTGGTGCCGGCTGGGTCTTCTCAGACTCGGCAAGCGACACCCGCCACTAGTGTAGCACGTCGCATGCGTTGGTCGCACTATATGCACACAAACGCATTGCGGGCGTACTTTAAGGCAAAAGGAGAATAAACTGAAAGGTTGGCATATCGGGCTCGTATGCATCACTTTATTGCAGAGCTGGAGCCATCTCTTACCGTCACTGAGCAAAACCTGGCAGACCGAGTTCGGTACATCCTGCGCTCCAACATATTTCATGATGCCGAACTCGAACGACTACAACGTGTAGCTGTTACCCTCATCGGATGAAAATGCTACAGCTGAGAATGCGAGGCGCCAATAATTGCACAGCAGCCTGCACATGTGATATAGCCGTGGTCAGACGATAATGGAATAGTCTCCCATGAATTAGAGAAAATGAGGAGCATATTGGAGGAGGCGATTATGGAAACGCGCATTACGCCTCTCGAAATCGACCGCGACTTCCCCACACACCCCTAAGAAAGCGGAATCGGGCAGTCTTGCGGGTTCATAACCCAATGCTGGTGATCTATTTGGAGGCCAGCAGGAACCTTTGCAAGACGGAATCAATTCTTTTTGGCACCGCACTGGTAGTCTGCCGTATTATTGACGCCAAACAACCAGAGTGATCAGAAAAGTCTCTATAAATCATTGGAGAGACCAAAGGTATGTGGAACGGGCCCAGTACCGGATCAGGCCAACACTGTCGCATTCTGGCGTGGCCTGTGTTCAGAGCCCGTACACCACAGCGAGGGCCATTGCATATTATAGTATGTAGAGTATATGTAAAGTTTAATTTGGAAATTAAACTTTACATATACTATGATTAGGCTTAGTTCGAATATAATTTGTAAAACATATATAACTAGTTTTCAAACTATTAAAAGTAAGTAGGTTAGTGTTCTGCTACTTAGCGATTCTAGCAAGCCCTTTCTTCAGTAGATCTACGAACAGAATCCCAGGAGTCACCAGTAAATATTAATGCAGTATCATCTGCATAGGAGATTATGTTGCCCTCGTTAATGTTCATGTTGGTTAGACAATTTATGTACCTAAATTAAAAACAAAGTAGGACCCCGGACACTGCCTCCTAAAATACCGAATGTTATAAGTATTCACCTATCTTTACTTTCTGCTTGCGATCCTTATATCCTTTAAATAAATAAAAGTGAGTACCCCTTATAGATGGAGTGACGACCTGGTAAGACATGCAGGAAGTCGATGGATGCAGGTGGATCAGAATCGTGCTTTGTGGCACCCCTTGGGGGAGGCCTATGTTTAGCACTGGACTTGTGAAGGTCTGTAGGTAATGCATGAAAAAATATCAAAAATCACTTTTACCAACGCTGAACTTATGCGGACTATAATGATTTGTTTATCGATAAAAATATTATCGACATAGTCCTCGCCTTACGTTGCTTACGCATGTAGACAGCGGCACCAGTGTATCGACACATGTATAATTATATGGTATGCGTAAATGCAATGAATACAAACACAAATGCTGTAGTGTGCGTGTATAGTGACGCCATTAAATTTAGCTTTTGTAGTGAAGTATATTACTTCACTTTTTCTTGCGCCCCCTGATATTGACAGACTTTTTGTTAAGGAATTAACGCACATAGCCTTTCCAGTTGGTTCAATACTCAAAGCTTACCACGTCTTCGAACCAAACGGTTTGCTACATCGTTCGTCATGCGTAGTGGGCTAAGCGTTGGCATAGAATAGTAAAGTCTTTAATAGATATTTTAATGGTCTATCGAAGATGTAAAACGAAAGATGTAAGGCAAACATACCGGGAGGCTAGCCAATTCTAGGGGATTTCCTCTGCTGCCATATTTCACAGATTAAAAGCCAGACAATCAAGTCTAGATTTAATGTATCAAAAGCTCTACTACGAAAATTCTCATTTAATCTGACAGTAGTATAACTAGTAGAACGAAAAATAAAATGGAATTCCAAAGCAAAGGAACGTAACAAAAATATAATATTTGGTGAATTTAAGAGTCCAAGGAAGTTTAAAAAAGCTGTAGTGTCGATTTTAAGGCCTAGCGTTTTTGGAAAAGTTTTGTCTAGAAATGAAGAACTTGCTAGACAAAACTTTTCCAAAAACAAGGCAGGACAAAGGTCCTTGTCCTTTCCTAGAGTCGCAGCCGTAAGGCCGCCCGCCGCTCGCACCCCATTTCAGTCACCTGTGAACCTGTGATTAGCTACGGCGTTACGTCGTGTTGTTTAAGTTTCCGCGTATGTATCTGCCGCCTGCTGATAGTTATTATAAACATGTATCGATAATGATTTCTTAAATTTACGCGAACACTACACATTGAATTTATTCAACATGTATCGATATTTAACCGTGTAGGAATTTATAACGTGCACATGAGCACTGGTGAAGTTTCCAAAACCCACACAAAATCAAAGAACATGCTAATCAATTTCGTTTTAGTGTTAGAGTTTGGGCGGCAATCATTAACGACCACACCATTGGTCTAATATTGATTGAAGGTCGATTGACGGGAGTAACGTATCTGCAAATGATACGTCTCGTCATCAACACAATGCTGGAAAACGTTCATCTGAGCCACCTGCGAGGAATGTACTTCCAGCACAACGGATGTCCAGCTCATTACTAACAATCTGAGCGCGCATATCTGGACAGCCAATTCGGTGATAGGTTGATAGGTCGCGGCTGACCAGTGAACTGGCTAGTGAGATCATCAGACCTAAAACTTTTATTTGTGGGCCGAATTAAAACGATTAGTATACACAGAAGAAGCACAAAATATTGGTGAAAGTTTAACAAACAATTTACAAAGACGTGCTACTTTGTGTTTGGAAAGAATCGATGAACATTTTGTAACGGGTATGAGTCAGACTCTAGTACCTTTTACAGAGGGGTAAGCTTTGCGATGCCGTCTCCTTTGGTTTAATACTCAAAGAGTACTTAGGTATTACTTCTTTAGATAAAAACTTAATTATTTTTTGCTATAAGTACCTATCTAAAAAAACTTCTTAACTTCCTACTAAACTTCTTCGGTAGCTTAATGAATGATATATCTGAAACCTTTTATTGGTCATTTAGCATCCTCCACACCATTAAATATCAAACAGGTAATATTTGTGTAGATTTTCAAACGAATAAAATAAAATCCTAAAAAAATTATTTCCTACCTGCGAATGTCAAGACCTACATTTTATGAGTTGTTGCATCTGATACAAACCGACTTACGACATGAAGATACACATTTGAGATTATCAGTATCACCTGAAAAAAAGATTCGTTTTTACTATAAGGTATGTTTTAAACGTTTGTACGAGAGTGTACAAAATGGCGTCCTCGTCGCTATTCGCGGCGATCTCGTTGCGCGTCCGCGACGTATTCGCTGCACATGCGCGGCTTATACGTTGCGCGTCCGTGACTTATTCGCTGCTCGCCCGCTCCGTCCCGAAGCCGTTCGCAAACCGCCAGAATAAGGCCGTTAGTTCTCAGGGGTTACAATACAATGCAAAAACAATCTGTAAGTCTTCGGACTGTCCTTTGTCTAGGCTACACAGTAGCCACTTACCATCAGGTGAAATGTTAATTCATTTTTTTAAAATTATCACTTTTTACTAAAAAGCGCACTGATTTTTAATTAAATATAAAATAATAATATAGAGGTATAATAACATAAAATATAATATATTCATACAAAACCTTTATGCTTAAAACTAATAACATTAATTAAACACACTCTTAAGAATTGTTCCAGACCAAAAAGTATACCAAGACGTTTTGGAAATCTGAAAAAGAAAATGCAAAATGTATTAAAATCAAAATTACGAAACAATATATACAAACTCTAAAGCCGTACTGTGTAATAATGCCTATGCGAAAAGGGAGTCGACGCGCAATGTTAATGGGAGCATACTTTATTTCTGTTATGCTTTTCATTTAGTTGTTACTAAATCGACCGATTTAGATGCTATGAAATAAAGTATTACTTACGTATCCATGAATGGTTTCATAACTTTTTAGATTTGAGTGGATTTAAAGAATTATTTTAAAATGTAAACATTAAATTAAGGTTTCGCCATGGCGGCGCGACGGTTCTCTTTCCGAACAGACTCCGCAATGGCAATGTCTTAAGCACAAATAATAAGTGCCTACAGTAACTTTTATTCACAAGCCTTCCCTGTAATATTGCATACGGTAAATATTAAAAAAAAAGTTTTAGGGCGGGGGTTAATCTACTCCTAATTCTCACATTTTGACATTATCAGTAGGACTAGATTGGACTAGATTAACACCTACTCTGCTCAGCAGAGCAGGTTGCGCTGCTATTTCACGATGGTATCGTGTAACCCCGGTCGAACCGACCCATTCGTGCTTCAACCATAATATAGCTGTAGTATGGTTCTACCACGTACGAATATGTATTATACAGTTGTTATATTAGTTGTTATAGTACATACATGTTTGATTAAGGATAGGACATTACGTATTAGCTATTTGGGTGGGTTTCACCAATATCATCATAATCAATATCACTATATTGTCCGGCGACCAGTTTGGCGAACGGCCCTGAGGGAGAGCGAAGGTCGTGTTGATCCCCAGGGCAAGTCTGAGGAGTTCTTCCTTCACGTGGTTGCCGCCTGTTATTTGGTCTAGATCAATACGAAACAGACAGAACAGAAACACTCAGACGATCCTCTTTTTCTTTCCTTTTTCCCACCCCTTTTTCCTATCCTAACCCAGTCCAAGGTGTTATGCGTACCATGCCGATGGATGCTCGGGGTAGGCCAGTTGCAAACGGTGCCTACCCGAGACCAGGGCGATTCGGGAGTATTTTAGCCATTCCCTCAGCATGCGGGGCTCTGCCGGGGGTGACCGAATATTTCCTTAACTAATCGTGGGACCAAAGTGGACGAAAATCAACATTTTGAAAAACTAAATTTTTCTTTATTAAAACTGTCTGTAGGTCTGGAAGAGGCTCTTTTAGCCTCACCAAAACCCTGTAACACAACCGCCGAAAGCCGAAAAGTGTAGGGTAAGTCTGCAGCCGAACCACAACCGAAAACGAAGCAGGGAAAACTTACTGGGGCAGCACGGAAGAGGTAAAGGAGGCTGATAGCAGCGGAGATAGAAGACGAAGAGGCCCTCTCTCTCCGCCAGAAGCCCTGGGGCGAGATTCCTTTGCCCAAACCTCCCCCGGTCTGAAAGCAAAAAAACGTAGTGGGTCTGAGGAAAATTCCTCCAAAGACCAGCACAGGAAATCTGTGTAGCTGGCAATGGGGAAGAAGCTCAGCTTCAGTGCTGTAGCTGGTTCCGCGCGGGTAGGAATTCGCAATTCGAGTCCTATGAGCGTGTAGCAGATGCGGCTGGTCCAATCCAAAACACAGACTATCGCTAAGACTGTCTGTGGGGCGCAGCCAGGAATGGGACCAAAATTTTCGGGTTTCACTCACAAGCGAGGTTCTGGTAACGTGCCTGAATAAAGGCAAGCCAGGACTGGATTGTGGGTGAAGTCGGAAAACTGAGACCGTGGTCGGAGGCAGAGCTTTCGACAATACCCGAGGGCGAAGTGCGTAAGTCTCAGCTGGGCATCACCTATCGGCCCCGCAGCGAATCTGACTTTCCAGAGGAGGCGGCTGTGCTGTTAAGGGCACAAAACGACGAGCTGTACGCCGAGCTCTGAAAAATTTTTCACCGTAGGGACGAGGATAATGGGTTCCTAGTAACTGCCTCTCTGGAAGTCCTATCGTCGGAGTCTCCCCTTGGCTTTAAAATGATAACTTTTAAGTCAGTGGAGGCTCTGATGCGGTAATGGAGCCTGTACTGTCACAATTCCAATCCCCCTAGCCCTCCAACTCTCGGAGTGAGACTGGAACGTTATCAGCGAGAGTGATTGGGATCCAAGGCACTGATCCCGCCTCGGTCCGAAACCCACCCTGGTGTCGGCCAGGGATAAGGAGAAGGGAGGTGGGAGAGATAAGGCCAAAATACCGTCAGCTGACAATCCCAGATCTTGGGATTTTCGGCTGACGGCAAGATCATCAACACTAAAGGCAGTAGACCCAGAGTTTGTATAATAATAATAATAAAACGGCGTAGGGAAGTGACGACCCCATCGCCCACTGACGTAACAGTTATGTGACAAAACTGCTACGTCGGCGCAGTCAGTCAGCGCTCTGCCAAGAGGTGTGAGCGCCGTGCCTAGGCAAAATTGTGGGTGCAAAGTTCCGTTTATGCATATGAACGAACCACGAAACGGTGCCGGGCTTGGGCGTCTCCCATTAATTGGCGCCCATAAATGGATGATGGCACAAATGGATGAGGGAACGCGCCTAGGGCCGCTGCCTGAGAGTCGCCGGGGCGCGTCTGGAGCTGGCGCTGGACGCGGCAGCATGCGGGCCGCCAGCCGAGCGCGAGGAGCTGCACGTTCACCTAGCAGCCCCACATCTATCATCCCCACCAGAAGGTTTGGTGTCGGCTGGGTCTTCTCGGAATCAGCAAGCGGCACCCACCGCTGGTGGAGCACGTCGCATGCGTTGCACAAAAACTATGAACAAAAACGCATTGCGGGCGTAAGATAGGGCGAAAGGGGAAGAAACTACAGGGATAGCGTATAGGGCTCGGATGCATTGCTTTTTTGCTGAGCTGGAGCCGTCTATTCCCGTCACGGATCAAAACCTGGCAGACAGAGTTCGGTACATCATGCGCTCGAAAATATTTGTTGATGCCGAACTCGAACAACTACGACGTGAGGCTATTCCCTCATAGAATGAATCGGCTATGGCTGGGGATGCGGCTCCACAGGCGACAGACCAGCATCCGCACGTGGAAGCCGCCATGGATCTTCCAGTTGTGGTTGATTCGGACGATGATGAAATAGTCTCCCACAAACTAGAGCAAATGAGGATCATATTGGAAGAGGCGATTTTGGAAATACACAGAATGCATCTTGAAAATCGACCGCGACTTCCCCGCATACGCCTAAGCAAACGAAATCGGGCTGTCGTGACGGCTTTAACTCAATGCTGGTGACCTATTTGGAAGCCAGCCGGGACCTTTGCGAGACGGACTCAATTCTTTTTAGCGCCGCAGTGGCAGTTTGCCGTATTATTGGCGCCAAACTTCCTATGGCTGGACGCGCTACTAGACAAAGTAACCATCCCAGCCTGGAGAAAAAGAATCAAGGACCGTATAGCAAAGGCAAGGGCCCTAATCGGCAGACTGACAAGCTTCAGATCGGGTAATAATAGACCGAGAGTTGTGCGCACCGCTAGAATAGCGTTTGCTGGGACAAATATCAGTTTGTCCAAGCCGGATATCACGCAGAAACTAACGGAGCGCATAGACGACCTGAAGCAAAAAATCGCTGCTTGGCGGAGGCGGATTCGAGGATTTACCGCGAGGTCAAGGCGGTTCAACCAGAATTGTCTCTTCCAGAGTGATCGGAAGAGGCTTTATAAATCATTGGAGCGACCAGGGGTATATGGAGCGGGCTCAGGACCGGATCATGCCGACACTGTCGCATTCTGGCGTGGCCTGTGGTCAGAGCCCGTAAACCACAGCGAGGGCCCTTGGATGGAAGTTGTGGCTAGCCAGGGTGCGAGTTTTACGCCTATGGACCCCGCCACCATAACGCCGGAAGACGTGGCTGAGGCGATCCGTAGGGCACCGAACTGGAAAAGTCCGGAGCTCGACGGGCTGCATCATTACTGGCTGAAGGGGTTCGTAGTGTGTCACACTGTGCTCGCCCGACAGTTTCAAGAGGCTCTCGACCAGAAGTCCCACATATAAGACGACACTGACATCTATTTAGAGCGCGATAATCACTCGTCACCTGGAGCTAAATCAGGTGATGTCGGGGCGGTGGTCGTGGAACCAAGGAACCACTCCTCATTGATAAAGTGGTGAAACGCAACCGTCACAACTTCTCCGGTGACTGAATAGAATACAGAAAGGCGTTCGACTCGGTGCCCCATACATGGCTAAAGTGGGTCCTCAAGCTGTACAAGATTGACTGTACAGTTAGACTTCCTCCAGCAGTGTATGGGGTAGTGGAGTACGATCCTTTATCACCTGGGCGAGCGGATGACGGCTGCGGAAAGCCGCATAAGGATAAGAAGGGGTATTTTCCAGGGCGATGAGTCCAATCTGGTTCTGCGTCTCTTGGAACCCTCTCATTACTTTACTGGAGGGCTCCGGGAGGGGATTTCGGTACAAAAGTGACCCACCTTTTCTTTATGGGTGACCTCAAGTTATTCGCCTCCAGTCGCTCCCATCTCATGGAATTGCTAAACATCACTTGTGAATTTAGCAGTTCCATTGAAATGGAGCTGGGGATGGATGTGTGCGGTTTTCCATGTTGAAAGGGGAAGGGTTGCTAACTCTGAGGGCATAGACTTATCTATGCCCGTCAACTTAAGGACCCTTTCCGTGGTTGAAATATACCGATACCTGGGTATGTCACAGATGAGGCTGGTATGAAACAGTCACTTTGCTATGTGTTTTGGGCACGCTTGACCAAAGTGCTTAGCAGCCTTTTGTCTGGTGTGAATAAGACACACGCATATAACGACTGGGTCATGCCTGTCCTCATGTATACCTTTGGCATACTCAGGTGCACTCAGACTGAACTGAGACCTAACACACCCTGAGAAACACCCTGGATAGAAAAGTCCGCACTACCATGACGCCCCATAGGATGCATCATCCGAGATCGTCGGTAATGAGGCTTTACTTGCCGCGAAAGCATGGTGGGCGTGGCTTTCTGAGCGCGCTCACCATGCATAATCGCGAAGTGTGCAGCCTCCGTGATTACTTCCTGGCGAGATCGGATGATCCATTCTATAATGACATTTCTAGTGATAAAGGGCTTACCCCTCTATCCTTAGCCAACGAGCAATAGCAAAACCCAGCAGCACAAAGCATTTCCGACCGGGCGACCGTATGGAAGGAGAAAGAGCTCCACGGGAGATACTACAGGCCTCTACATGAGCCCTTCGTAGATACAGCCGTCTCCCTCAACTGGCTACGTTTCGGTGACCTCTTCGGGGAAACCGAGGGTTTTGTCTGTGCAATACTAACTTGCACAGGCACAACCTAGTAGCCAGAATTCTACACCAGGAGCTCGCTCTGAAATACGGTCTCGTGGACCGGAAATTGCCGTATTACAAGTACTTGCCGGAAGCCGTGCTCGAAAATGACCACGCCAGCGCGCTCTACTGGGACCGGGTCATCATCACAGATAGGACTATTCTTGCGAATAATTCTAATATTGTGCTGATGGATCGAGGACTTACAAGCCTATCTTCCTTTCTTCTTAAGACACTGGAAAAGATTATAGATAGATACAGTATAAGGGATGTATCTCTAGCTACGAGACCAATACATTAAACCCAGCATGCTTACCGCAACGGCAAATCTACGGAAACAGCCCAGTGTCATTATTTAAACACAACAGTGTTATTGACAGGGTCGAAAAAGCGCTGGAGGATAAAGAAATAGCTCTTTGTGCCTTTTTAGATATTGAGGGCGCCTTCGACAGTAGCCCCAGATCACTGCTGATTGGGGGCCTTACATCTAAAATTGTGGACCCCACAATCATCAGGTGGGTGAAGTCGATGGTCTCAAACAGAAAGGCAAAAATAGCGTTGTTTCAAACTTTAATTGAGGTTGCAACTACAAGTCCAAAGAAGGGATGACAAAACACCTTGTCCACAAGGTGTTTTGTCATCCCTTCTTTGGACTCTTGCGCTCGACCAACCTTTGTACAAGATGGCAGACCTTCGCATTGACACAATAGGTTATGCTGATGACCTTGTGATCATTACGAGGGGTTTTTGTCAAACTACTTTATCATTAATCATACAAAGAGCCCTAAACACCGTAAATAACTGGTGTAGGGATAACAGTTTATCAGTTAATGCTGATAAAACTGTTATAACACCCTTTGCTAAAAAGAGAGGGTTGGACAAATTAGTCACACCAAAACTCAATGGTAACGAAGTAACATTCTCCACCGAAGATAAGTGTTTGAGCGTAGCAATCGACCAAAAATTAACGTGGAACTCACCTAAGCAACGTATGCCATAAGGCAAAAATTGCTTTAGGTTCAGTCGTTTGCTCGGGAACAACTGGAGATTGCTTCCCAGTATGATTCTATGGCCATACAGCAGCGTGGTGAAACCGATTCTTACCTATGCCTCCACTGTCTGGTGCAACAACGCCAACCAAAAGACGACCGCGGACAGACTACATAGTCTACAAAGGATTGCCTGTTAATGGCAACTGGAGCGATGCGATCATCGCCTGGAGCGGCTCTTAATACACTTCTATGCCAAACGCCCCTTGATCTTTATCCAGACAAGGATGCGAGGTCTAGTTTGTATAGGTTTAACGCCCAGAGCGGTTTGAGATTGTTTCCTACAGATTGAGATACATGCTCGACTCTATTAACGAAACACCGTCTTATACATGATCTTAGATATCATGCGTCCACTATATACTTTTTATTAAAAGTAACTAAAACATATATGAGAATAAAGTCAATGGGGGCATTATTTTTCGCTTTTTTAATCTCCAAGCCACCACTTAAAATAAAGAAAACTGTCGTAAAAAGTAAGATTACAAATTAATTATAGTGAGATACTCCTCATCTAGTGTATCATAATATAATTCTACCCAGTGCTTCGTTACTAGAAAAAACCTGATGACTTTTCAGAAATAATTAAACTTGTTAAGAATTTAGAATAAATTTCATGTGGTAGAGCCACGCTGCAGCTATATAATAGTTGTAGCATGAATGGATCGGCTCGACCGGGATAGGACAACGCTCTCACAGAATACCAGCGTAAAATAGCAGCTTAATGATGCTGTGTTTCAAATGGTGAGTATAGAGAACCGGAGACCCTTTTTACTGGAGAAGAGGCATTCCATCTAAATCCTCAGGGGTATCACCCCTCTGCATCTGCATTTTGATTCTTAATCGAGGATAAATGTACATGTATATGGGCTACAGCATCCACTTAACAAAACTTATAATAGAACGAAAAAACGTTTTTTAGAAAATTTCAACAGATATACAGTAAACCCTCGTTAATGCGAACACGGTTAACACAAATTTTGGTTTAAGGCGAACAAAAATTTGCTCTAGACAATAGTTCCATAAGCTTCAATGTAATTATGTTCGGTTAAGACGAATCCTCGTTAATCCGAACTTCGAACAACTTTTTCGTCCCTTCACGGTTAATTATCGGATAATACGAACTATAAAAATTCCCAAATCATGTATGTATTGTATATTTTTGTCCTTTTTCGGTCAATACAAATACCGGGAAACAAATGCTGAAGAGATTAGAAAAGTCATTAACTCGAGTTTCTAAAAATAGACAAATGATTAGTATATCAAACATTCACTCGATTACCTAAAAATAGAAACAATACCTCAAATTTTCTTTCCGTCTTACAAAAGCTATTGAAAAGGTTGTAAACTTTTGAAAACTAATTAACGAAAGCAAAAGCTTCTTAACAATTTGGCTTTTAAAAATTATTGTAAATATAAAATAATAAAATCAAAGTTATTAATAAAAATGTTTCTATGATGAATCATAATATTGAGTTTAGAAACACGAATTCATTTTTTGCATTGTTCGGATTACACGAACCCCCCTGTAACACGAACTATTTGTCTGTTTTTTTCGTGTTCGTGTTAACGAGGGTTTAAACATTTACATAATATAATCATGTTAATTTTAACAATAGTTTGCTAAAGTAATTTTACAATACAGCGCGTAATTTAAATAACGTTAGTAGATCTGAACTATTCAATAAAACCTAATGGCGTTAAGCAGAAATAATTAACGACGCATACTAACTAACTAAATAATTAATTATCAGTCATGCTTGGACCTCAGTAGAACGAAAAGGTTTATCACCTGACAATAGATGTCTTCACTCACCACGGACGACTGACGTGTCACTGCGGGACACCTTCGTAGGTAGGACCAAATCGTGAAATTCACCAGAGTGAAGCAATTTTGTATTATCTGAATCACCATTATTTTCCTCGGTTGGTACAAAAGGAGTAATCACATCTGATTCGTCAGAAGATATTTCAGATTTTGCGTGTTGCTTAAAATCAGACATAAGTGTTAAGTTTTGATCCTGATGCTGCTCTTCCACCACCGATTCTTTCAACAAGATATCTCCACTATTAGCTCCAACTATCATTTCAGAATCTATAGGTATTTCATCAGTAATCTTTTGCTCTTTTTCCATACTAGTGTCATTAACAAAGAGTTCCTTTGCAGAATCGAGTTCTTCACTAAGACGACTACAACTGTTACTAGGGGGTGATATAGATTGAATTGCATCTTCTCTTTTTAACTGTTTACGTCGTTCGTTTTTGTCGTAACCTAAAGGATGCAAATTTGTGGATGTAGGTGGGCTCCCATCTAAAGATAACTCTACCGATGTCAACAGACTTTCGTCTCTGCTCATGAACTGACTTCCATCAGGAACAATGTGAATGTTTAACACTGTTTTATTTCTAGTAGGATCTGGATCAGTTTCTAAGGACGTAGATGGGTTATCAGAATCAACTAAAGTAGTATTTGAAATTGTTTTGTTGCGATTCAACCGATTTCTTATTAGAAAACCTCTGATGTGAGCCTGAATGACGGTAGCAGCACTAGATAGTGTAGACGAATCGTCGGTAGATACAGAGAGCGATTTTTCTTCATTTACCGTTTGTAACACAGTGTCCATGCGACTTATGCCAAGTGTTCGTCTATCCTTGTTAATGTTCTGATTCTTGTTGGTAATTTCTTCATCCTGAAATTATTCTTTTAATTATCACCTTATTACCAAGCGGTAATAGTCGATTTAGAACTTAGAAGTAAATAAATGAAATGTATTATAGAGCTTGTACAAAAACACGGCGCGGTCTGTGCAGGTGTTATTTATCTGTTACCGTTACAGTGCACAGTCCACAACAGGACATAGACCTACCCTATAGATTGCCTCATAGGGGTAATATATCCTATTTGCAAGTGCAACACGTTTAGCAAGTGGGTTGACAACGGCAGTTTCATCATTAATTGTTATTAGGACAGGACTATCCCGTTGCCTATTTCCTGGTTTGTTTCCATCTGTCGCCTCTTACGCCGCTACTATACAGCGGCACTCAGTTTTTGTATGTCTAACCAAAAAGCATGAAGATACTTATTAATATACAAAGATACTTATTATAATATTAAGGAATTTATGAATGATAATAACCCCTGGGAAGGGTGATCGCTACCAAGCTATTTCTAATTTGTCTTGTGTTGTTAATTGTAAACACGATTGTAAGCTATTATTTGAAAAAAAAAATAGCCCCACTGGGTTTCTTGCTGGTTCTTCCCAGGACAGAGGTTTTTTTTTGTGAACCAGTGGTAAATGAAAAAATTGACTTTCAATAAGTATTGTTTATAATCTACATTGAATAAAAAAGTTTCTGTTTCTGTTTAACAAAAAAAAAAAAGATAATAATAGATACAAAATAATATCATGTAAAATATATGTCTGTAAAACCATTTTCATTACATTCTTACATCGCCACTTACACGGCCTATCAATGTAGCAACCCTTTTTGGTAAATTCACGCTTCATAAAATTGATGAGTGGCTATACGTTTGTGAGAAATAGTCAAATGACTATCGCCGCCAGCAATCAGCGCGTCCACTAACGATAGTCTACTTGCAAGCGAGTATATTCTTGTGGTTCAAATTAATTATTGGCCTGTGAGTTAAAAATTATTAGTAGTAATAAGCCGTGGAAGCTTAAGGGCTAGCGCTCACTATAAATTTAACAGTAAACAAAAAAAATGTTAATTTATATACATATAAATATTTCTCAGACATGTAAAGTGTGCTAACAATTATTGTTGCAGTGAGGCGGAATCTTACTGCTCTTAAATGTAAATCCATCTTAGAAATGAAAGCGTGCTGACGAGGGTATATATACCGAATGTATAATATACAAATAAGACTAGAAGTATTATCATACAATTTCTACGGAAATATTGGTTTTGGCAACTCATAAAAAGTATCTCAATTTAAATGAGCGTCAAATACCTAATTATTTTGATTTTTCTTTACCTACTTTGGAATGTATGTATTTCTATTATTTAGTTTAAATGACTAATCTATTAAAGGTTGTGCAATTTGTTATGTTAATCTTGGTTCTAGAAATGATTTTTACTAATTACTTTGCTAGGGATTGGAATTATAAAATTGGCGTTTTAAAGTAAAGGGAAGCTCGTCCCCTTTTACTATTATAAATTGTAAAAATATAATAACGAAATTAGTAAAACTAAAAGAAATACCTTTAAGTTGTTTTCACGTTCAAAGCCATTAAAGTCCATATTTGTAGATTCGTCAAAACTAGAAGTTTTGCTTCTAAAAAGAAAGTTGCGAAAGACTTTTTGTATGGTTATAGCAGCCGTTTCAAGATCCATTGCCTGAGTTCTTTTAGATTCACTTGCTTCATCAACAACACAAGTGGTATTTGATAAAATTTCCTCGTCACTGTTATCTTTATCATTAATATTACAATCACCATTCAAAATAATGCTTGAGTTATTTGGTTCACATAATAGTGGATTGTCATTATACACGTCTTCTTTTATTATTTTTATTTCAGAATTTTCAGTTGAATTATTGTTCCCTTCTTCAAAATTATTGCTTGTGGCATTGTCTATGTTTTGATCATTAAACTGCGATGATAATTTATTAACTATTTGAACCTTTGTTTCACTGACATTGCTTGCTACAATAGTATCAAGGTCCCCATTATTTATTTTTAAAGCTTCGCTTTCTAATTTATTTTCACTTTTACTTCCGTTCGCATTTTCTACATTAGAATGATTCTCATTCATGTTTAATTTATTCTCTGGTAAAAATTGGTCATTATTAATAACAGGCTTAATTTCAATTTCTGCATAATTATTAGGCGTAATGACTGCTTTTATTTGAGTGTTTTCTTTATCGATAGAAATAACATCGTGAGAATCAGTATCAATTCCGTCTTTACACTCTTTACCAAAAGTTTCTTTTTGTAAACATTTAGCATTCACAATTTCAACTTCCCCTATATCAGATGATAAGTTACCTTCTTTAAATTGATGACTGTATTCGTCTTTATTTACTTCATCACACACTGTGCTTTCTTTATTATCTGTTACAATGTCAGCTTTATATGTATAATCACTTTCAAAAATTTTATTTTCTACTATAGCATTCCGGTCGCAATTAATTTGTTCTTTATCATCTTTGTCATCTTCATATACTTTCATAATTTCTTGGCAAACTTCTGCATTTGAAACTGCAGATTTTCCAATATTTTTTTCTACAAGATTTAATATTCCTTTATTTTCGATATCAGATATGCTTCCATCAACATGTATATTATCAACAGCTTTTAAATTTTCTTCAACCGTCTGGTTAATGATAGTGTCAGCAGTAATTACCACATTTTCATTGTTGGTTAAAACTGGTTTATCATTTGAATAATTCTTAACAAGTGTTTCAATTTTTTCCAGTTCTACACTGACACCTTCTATGTTATAAATATTAGTAACCGATAAGCTTTCTGTATTTTCTATTTTATCAACATGCTTTGTATCATCTACCATATTTTCCGCATGGCTACTAGTATCCCTATCACTTTTATTTATACCGTGTTTTTCTATATCACGAGTGATGTTGTTTACATGAAAATTGGGCTTTTGATTTTGGTCGCTGTGATTGTTAATGGTATCTTCAGAAACTTGTTCCATATTACTTAACTTCTCAACTGCATCTTCATCCTTAATTTCTTTTGAATAAATTTCTGTACTTCTGTCTTGATTACAGTTTCCATATTCAGTGTTGTTCAAATCAAAATTATTCACATTATCATTCTTAATTAGTTTTGAAACACCTTCCAATTTTAACAAACTCTGTGCTGTTGAATCATTTAAATGATTGTCCCATTTTAATTCAAACTCTTTATTTTCAGATGGATGCTGGGGCGACAAGCTATCTTGCCTCAAATATAACTGCATTTCTTTATCGTACTTTTGACGCCTTTGCTTAGCTCTTTGTCTTACAATGTTAGTAGCCTTAATAATTTTTTTTTCCAGAGTTAAATACCTGTCAGGTGCTTATAGCACCATAGCATATTTTAAATTGTAAATATTAGTAACAAAATACTTATTTACTACTTTAATATTAAAGGTAAATATCAATAAAATTAATAATTGATACAACTATAATGGGGTAAAGCTATACTGTAGCTATATTATGGTTGTAGCACGAATAGCTCGACCGGGGAAGGACCACGCTCTCACAGAATACCAGTGTAAAGTAGCAGCTCAATGCTGCTGTGTTTCGTATGGTGAGTAGAGCAGTGGAGACCCTTTTTACTGGAAGCGAGACATTCCATCCTAGTCCTCAGGGGTGAAAAAGCATTTGCATTTTGATAATTAATGGCGATGTAGACTTCTATAGGCTATAGCATCCACTTACCATCAGGACTGTGTGCTGGCCGTCACCCTTATTCTATAAAAAAAATTGTTACATCCTTTACCGTTACAACCCATTAAAAGTTCACTACTGAGCACAGGCCTTCCCAATAGATTGCCTCTTATTAATAAAGTTACATAACTTTGTTAATAAAGGGGGGGGGTGTTTACACTTGCCACAATTGCCACGCTTGGCAGGCGGGCTGGCAACCGCAGTTTATTTATTTTTAGTTTTTATTATGAAGACTACACTTCACTCTGTCGCATCTAACGACACACACGGGACTATAGAGGGTAGTGGATTTTCTCATACCGCCACTACATAGCTAATATTTATTGTTACATCTTACAACTGCAATTAATTAAATATTTGGGATTAAATTGAAGATATTATAATAATGTGTTATACATTAGACAAATGATGGTTTTCTGGTCTAGATCCAGATGTGATTGCCTTCAAGCCTCTGACATGGAGTCCAATCCCTTACCTTCTTTTACTAAAAACAAGGCCCGCTCCTCCAAATAAATGTTGTTCCAAATAACATTTATTTACAAAGAAATTTGTATTTAATTCTGAATATGCTTCCTCAGAAGTAGCCTGATAGCAATGTGTATTTTTTGTATATGATCAAACAAATACATTTAAAACCACAATGATGACTGCCTCGTTGGTCTAGTGGTTAGAGCAGTGCGACTACTGATCGTGAGGTCCTGGGTTCGAATCCCGGGTCGGGCCAAAAAATAATTATTGAGTTTTTCCGTCAAGAAATTCTCAGTAATTGCCCAAAATCAGGAAGTTGGGTCGGTGTCTCACCCCCGTGCCTCGGAAAGCACGTAAAGCCGTTGGTTCTGCGCCTGATCTCTCTTCGGTCGTGTCGGTTTACCGTCCCATCGGATTATGAGAGTGAGGGAATAAAGAGTGTACTTGTGCTTGCGCATACACTTAGGCAGTATAATCCTGTCCAGCGCTAATGGCTAGCCTCCGTTGAGGCAGGCCGCCGTGGCCGAAATTCGGTCTGGAGGATATTATTATTATTATTATTATTATGGGGTTATTATTATTATTATTTTTGTTCGGCGAGCCATGTCATACTACTCCATATGGTGAAATGTGTATAGTTAGCGACAACAGAAGCAAACTGAAACAGGAGATGGGCAGCAGCATCTTCCTGATAATTTAAACGCCTGCCAAACTTGGCGATCATGGTAAAATCACCCCTATGTTCGGCAGTGGACTTTTATAGGCTGTAATGGATGGATAGGCCATATTATAATACAAGACCTTGGTTATGGGTGGTTTTTAACGGGTAGATGCCTCTCTGTTAGTGCAACACTTGTAACTTTGTTAATAATTGTTTATCAGCGGGAATCACTTCACAGCTGTGTTTCTTTTTAATACTTTACTAATTATCAACTACGATTCCTATCAAAGTTTGGCGATTGCTACAGCTGTTTCAAGATCCCGTCCCATGGAATATATGCGAACTGAATTGCAAAGTATGATATTTGTCTGAAAATTTAAAATTTTCGCGAAGACTATAGCCCGCGGATATGGGACTATATTCGTTAAAAAAAGACTCTGTTATAAGCCTGAGACTATCAATAAATCACACTTTTATCTAAGATGTTGTTTGTAGTTGATGTCCAAAAGAAATACTAACCTAGTACAATGTAAAATATTAGTATATCTTTATTTTTAAGCAGGAATACCCAAAAAAATAACTCTTGTAATAGCGAAATCAAGATTTTGTGGTTTCTCATACTTCATGTTCATTTGTGATGTAGTATGAGTTTATTGACAATCTCCGCAATGAACAAAGACTACATTATAAAAGATAAAAAATTACAACTTCTACATAAAGTAGATAACTTACGACGACCATCCCTTAACTCGAGCAACTTCTTCATATGCTCTGCACAGAATTCAAACACGTCAGTTGGATTACATCTAAGAACCTCTTTAGTGAGGCCTTCCATTAGTTCCACAAGTCCTGCAGGCATTTTCGGCACAGGTGTTGGACTTACATATGCTCTTGACCCAGAAAGTTTCATTCTCTATAAAATTAAACATTAAGTAATGAATATAACCTGCAACTAAATTTCCACTTTATTTATTTTCCACTTACCTATGCTTTTTGATGTGCACTGACGAAAGTCACAACTTGGTATAACAGAATACTCAATAATGGGTGTGGTCAACACTCGCGCTAGCGTAATGTTTGGAAATGGTAGCTATGGCAATGCGCCAAACTTGAACTTGACTTCGTTAGCGACAAATATTGATCCGACTGAAGTTCAATGTAATTATATTAACGCCACTTAAAGCGGTCGATTTAATTCGTATACACTACACTATATTATAGCGAGCTAAAAGAAAAGGCCGTTTCAATAGCAATAAGTCAAATTACGTAACTTGTAGACATGCGTTTGTTTTTTATTATTTTATACAGAGTCGTGTTACAAGTGTTATCAAAATTTAAATTGTATTACTTCTTTCAAAGTACAGACATATTACAACATATTAGCAATACAATTAACAGAAGATTAACATCCTTTTTTAGTAAAATAAAATATATAATCGTAAAGATTAGTACTACCTAAGCGTGGAAGATATCGAAGGCGAACCTCGGGTCTGGGCCTCGAATAGAAATGAAAAGCAAGTAATGTGAAAATTAGTTGTGTATTTGCAATGCGCGGCAGTTATGGCTGGCGGCGAGTGAAAGCCGCCGCGGGGCGCCTACTCTGACACACAAACAATCCAATTCTTGTGAATCAACTTTTTTATTTTCATACTGTGTTCTATAATAGTAATTTATATATAAGATCATATATTTAATTTTTGCAATGTTAATACATTATACATAACAAACATGTTCATAGTGTACATACATACATCGCGGTAGCGCTATTGGCGGCGCGTGTCGGCTACGCTCCGCCGGTGATGATAGAAAAATTAATGGCTACTGTAATATCATACAAATTAATGACTATTCCCTTACAAATTATTATAACTACCTTTAGCATTGTTCTACTCCAATATGATCAAATGAACGTTTTCACCGAGCCGTATGCGTGATAAATGAAGTCTCCAGTTCGCTCCGACCGATTCGACCAGCTATCGCGTGCCACTCCCGCAGCTATGTATAAAAATCATCGCCGCTATAAATTTATAATAAATAAATGCCTATTTACACTATGTAACTATACAAAATGATAGTACGACGAAATTACATTTTTTGAATCGAGCATCTAATTTTAAATGAAGATTTCATATAGAACAATCTACTCACGGGACCCAACACGAGCCTCTACCATATACGGGGCCCGCGCACTAACATATTACATCTCGCAATTTTACTATCTTTGTTTTTTTTTGTACAATCATATTCAGCAGAAAGCTGGGTGCCCGATTATAACAAATATCGGTGATTCAAAATGCAATACAATCAATCATGCGTCAATAATTAATACATACAACTTTTAACTTATTAAACAATTTAACAATGTTGGAAATCCTAAAGTAATGTATTAACCTATGTAAACATATTATATAAAATACTAGTACAGTAGTCATGACAGTGCATTCGGGGCGCGGATACTTCGAGAGTGTTGAATTGCGAAGGTAGAGGCCGCTCGCGAGCGAACCGACGCGACGAACGACAGCGGATAGGGTTGCCACCTTTTTGCGTGGTAAGCAATGATATTTTGTATAAAAGTATTTTGGCGAAAGTATAAACAAGAAAGCCCTATGTTTATTTGAATTCGCTCAAGAATGTTTAATCCTAAATTTTAATGAGCGTGAAAACATGTATACATTAGAATATTAAATTTATATAAAGAAATGTATAAAATTAAAAATATAGCATCTTTTATATTATATTTCTCTAAGTATAAATATATCCATCCACAACATTACGCACTGTATCTCAACACTCACAAACAGATATTGGAGTCAGCAAATAGAAAAGAGATTTATTGCTTCAATAGATGACTCCCACTTAAAGTAAAATTTAAAATATACTATTTTTCCACTAACTCAGATATAACAGATAAAATGCAAATACCATAGTACTGGGTGGCAACCCAAAAAATCGGTATTTACCCGAACGAACCAATCATTAGAGGTGTAAAAAATTAATAACATTGTTAACAAAAATGTAATTGAATAGACAATATGAATGGATGCGCAACCGTAAAGTAAAGTCAGGGGCATTATCCTAGCGGGTGGAGGGAAGTGGGGGACATCACTTGGCGACGGCACCGGCTTGTTGTCGCTTGTGACTTATTTCAAGCTCTCCTAGTTTTTTCCACAACTCATCACGCTCTTTTTCGCGTTTCTTCTCTCTGTAACAATTATTCAAACATGTAATGACTATTTTCTTGGTATTTTATTAATTTACTTATTTAAAACTTTATATACATATGTTTTTTTTTATAGAAGAGGGGGCAAACGAGCATGTGGCTCACCTGATGTTAAGTGACTACCGCCGCCCATGAAAATATATAATACATATTATGTATATATTACATATATACATATGTAATATAGACAGACTTAATGCCCGAGGAATAGTCTAGCAGTTTACTTTGGGGTGATGCAAAGATGAAATGAGTGTAAAAAAATTTGTTGATATGAGAGTACAAAAGTAAAATATATATAAATTTTGTAATACATAGAACATGTACATATATATCTTAATACTCCTTACATGGTATATCACAAAAAATATAAAATAAATGCAAAAACTATGCATATGTAACCAAAATAATAAATACTTATACTACATAAATATACATATTATATCGATATATAGTTAAGATTATGTATATTTTAGAATTTTAGATATCCACATTAAGAACTTAAAACCAAAATGTTCAAGAATTTATGGAAGAATATACACTTTAATAGTAACCATAGTCTGTAAAAGAAGATATCTGCAGAAGGACAAAAATTATTGAAATTGCCCAATGGATCAGAGTAAACTGAAGCGGCAATGGGCCAGCCATATAGCTTGAAGAACTGAAAACCAATGGGCAAGAAAATCACTGAGTGACAGCCTCATACTGGCAGGAGCAATTTTTGGCGACCCACCCACTACATGTAATGACGACCTGATGAAACACTCATGCAATCTATGGATGGCAATTTACATGGGGGGCCTATGTTCAGCAGTGAACTCATGATGGATTGTTGTAGTGGTAGTAGTAGCAGCAGCAAACATAGGCATAATAATATGTAAAGTAACATAAAATACTATTGCAACATTTGTAACATAAAATATTTTATTTGGAAAGGAAACGAGATTGTGTATTCAATTATGCAGTATTATTTTTAACTTTCTCAACTGCTGACCATATGGTTCTGGGTTCGAATCCCGGGTCAAATAATTGGGGTTAAAAATAAGTTATTGCATTTATCTGACGAAAAATTTTCAATAGTACACCGGAGTCAAGAAGTTGACAAGAGTTGACGGTGTCTCAACCCCATGCAATGGAAAGCAGGTTAGTCAAAGTTTGATCTTCGTATAATTTCTCTCCAGTTGTGTTGGATTGCTATCCAATCGGACTATGACAGTTAGAGGAATTGGTGAGTGCACTTGTGCTTGTCCATACTTTGTTAAGACTGAGACTTATCTTTCGGGTATCAACCACCTTCATCTTAATGCAATGTATTCCCCATGTTAACTTTCTAAATAATTTTACAAAAATCTTTATTAAAAATTAGAATAGAATCATTTTTTTTATTTACCAATGGTTCGAAAATACCTCTGTCCTGGGAACAACCAGCACGAAACCCAGCAGCAGGATTATATTTTTTAAACATATATCATTTTACAATGGTTTCTTACAACTTTTTATATGAATTTTAATAGAACCATCATGGTGGCATACACTTCATTCCCAGGGGATATTTTCATTCATGTATACCTTAATATTATAATAAACCTTTTTCTACTACTTTCGTTTAATAAAACATTACAAGCTAATGATTCTTCCTAGTATTTAAAGTATAAACATCTTTATTTTTATCAAAGCTATTCATATATTTATGTACAAATATAATACTTTCATAAATATATTGTGATGCCAAAGTTAATATGTTTATTTATTTAAATATTTCTCTGAGGAAATTTTCACACTTTCAGTTTTGCAAAACAAATATAGTTTCAATGTCTGTCGTGCTACCCCATAGGAAAATGTTATAAGACTTTACATCATTAAATTAATAGATAAGTCGCTCGCGTCCGTAGGCTTCAACCACCTAATCCTAGGCCCACCCTACACGTTTCCCCCGGGTGGTGCTAAAAGAGCGACAAGGCCGAAAGAACAGACTCGGCTACTCGCCGTGTGGTAGCGGCGTAAAATATGCCACGCCCTAGTTTTCGCACCATGAGGCAAATAGTAAAAGAAATGGCCCCGAGTTCCCGGCGCCCCTTTAATGGGGCAGGGGTGCGAAGAATCTCCGGGAGGAAAACCGGCGATGAGGTTCGCCACCCGTCACGTTCTGTCTCCCAGAGAGGCGAAAAGTGAATTGCAGAGGCCCGTCTGGCTACGTTGAATGTATGTGGGGCAATGAATGATAAAAGGGAAGAAGTATGCGATATGATGTATGATAGAGGAATTGATGTATTATGTGTAAATGAGACGAAAAGGAAGGGGAAGGATGTCACTGCACATGGCATGTATACCGCATACTGGTCTGGTGTAGACGAGATCGAGCGGGCATGCCAGGGAGTAGGTATCATCCTTTCAGAAAGAATGGGCCAATGTGTGAAAGAGTATGAATGTGTAAGCCCAAGACTGCTATGGATACGAATGAAAGTGGGCTTAAAGAAGTTGTTTGTGTTAGGGGTCTACGCCCCAGACATGTCTAAGCCCACTTATATCCGGGAGCAGTTTTGGGAAATGGTAAGGATGGTGTTAATGAAGTGTAAGGGAAATGAAAATATTATTATGCTAGGAGATTTTAATAGAAGGGTTGGGGTGAGGAGGCTTGGTTA